AACCAGTTATTTATGACATTTTTTTTTTATATAATTTACCGGCATTCATAAATATAAGAAATTAGGCTGAATTCCTTAAAATATTTCTTTTAGTTCCTAAGGAAGGAACTTTAAGAAATATTATTGTTTATTGTCCGCCATTAAACGCCAAACCAAATAGCTTATTTCATAAAAATATATATATTACAAACAACTACGAAATACATCCAGTCTTAAATAATATATAAGATTTTTGGCAATGATAAATAATAAGAACTTTAAAAAAATACTTCAACAATTACGTTTTTAAATTATTATGTTGCAAAATAAAGAAAGAAGATTAGCAAAACAACGAAACGATCTAGTCAGTCTTTAATTCAGACCTAGTTTATCGATCTAAATAACTTTTACAAAAATCTTCAACAGTAACTGTCACTTCAATCTATAGATGTGTGTTTTAATTTTTATTATATTTGTATCTTTTAGGAATCAAAATTGTGCTAGCAAAGAGAACTTGATGAAGTTAGAAGCTGTGTGTGTGTTATAGGTTCTAGTATTCGCTGGTAAATAACATCTATCGATATTGACTGCATTTCATTAAAATCATATCTATTATAATTACAAAGGGATTACGTAGGTGTAGTTTTAACTTTTGGATGTGATCTATGAAACCTTTTAATTTTTTTTAATTCTTGAGTGAAGTAATTTTGTTACAAATGAATTTAAAGTCAGAAACATCTGTAAAATTTATATTATTTCATAAGGTTCTCCGGTCACTTTACACCAACTTACACAAGTGTACAATTAACGCAAACACACTGTCAAGTTTTTGTTGCGCGAGACCTTCTACTAAAAATCTATAAAAAATAAAATATATCTAAGTTTTTATCTATTACAATTATCCGACCATAAATGTATATCTTTTATTCCTTTTTCAGCCACTTGTGATATATAGCAGTACAAGCAGCTGGCTGCCTCGTTACACTCTCTTTTGACAAAAGTTTCACCTCATAGCTCGTATCAAAGTTTGTAAACATTAAAGATTTATAACTAGCACTTAAAGTAGAAAGAGCTTATTTCAACATGAAGCGTAGTGAGCATATAGGATTGTTTGAAAATTGATACTGGCTGCTGATACCTTTGTATCTATATCATGAGCTTTCGTCTGAAACAGTCAAGGAGCTTTTCGCTAGGTCTTTACCTAGCAAAAGTTCCCTTTAACTTTTATTTCACCGAAGTACATGCGGACTGCTACAAATGTCCGTATATAGGTACATCGTTGTTTTGTAAAAATAGTCTTTAGTTATCTTTATGTACGCGGGCAAAACTCAATAAGTAATGATATTTCAGGTATGAAAAAAATTTCGTGATAGAATAAAGTATTCAAAAGCGTTTTACCCAAAAAAGTGAATTTGACCGAAAATGTAGGTGTCCGTTTGTTTTTTGTCGAAATAATAACATCGTACCCGTAAGAGAAATCAACTTACAAAATGTGATATACAATAAAGAGCTGTTCTACGACTTTATTATCTCCAAACAAACTTCAAAAACACATTAAATCGTGTTTCCCGGAATAGGAACTATATTTTGTTCGTTAATTAGTTTTCCTTGTATGAGGATAATCAGAGAATTAAATAAAAAATGAGACACTACTAAAGAGCCATATTATGTTTCAACGGTGATTTTTGCGTATCATGATAAGTTTTGGCACTCGCGATCTCAGAAACAAAAATATATTAACAACTTTGACTTATAGAATAGGGCAGAATAACTCTTGCCATAGTTCGAAGCGGCCTTGCTTTTCGGAAATTTTGCTTAACTTCTTAATTAAACCCATAATAGCTGAGAAAGATTTTCATAATATGTGTGAAGACATTTTTTTGAGCTTCTTGATTGAGCTACTATTTTAAATTAAAATAGAATGATATGTCTTTTATTGTCGTATAGTTCGTAGTGGCCTGAAAATTTTGAAATAACACTGACTAAATATAGAAAAAAAAGCATAATATGAGTATATATAAAAAAACTTTAAATATTGCTTGAAGTAACTGTGACTTTCTCCTATCTACGACAATATTATTAATCTTTAAGTATACATTTAGTATCTAACTTTTATAAAAACGATAAATGTAAACGCAAAATACTACAAAGTATGATAGACCTGTGTCGAATTTCTTCGCACGATTATGCATGCGTTCGAAAGAATAGTATGCCGAGCGAGCGAAAATAGCAGCCCCGGTAAATTTTGTGTGGTCAATTTGAGCATTACTTTTCATAATTATGTGAGTAATTTGCAGGCTTATTTCTTCCTAATTCGTATTAAAATAAAAAACTGATAAAAACGACATGCATATTGCCATGGGTGTAAATTTTATTTCCCCTTTTTTGATTGAAGTGTTATTTCTTTCCATATTTAAAAAAAAAACCGTTTTAAGATGCCAAATGATTTTAATTTAGATTTATTATCTTTTAGTAGCTCAGTGGCGTAGTTAAGCAACTTTCGCAAAGGTCGGTCACGGGATGGGTGAACAAAAAATGATTATCTCGAACTACTCCGTGCTTCGGAAGGCAAATAGGGGCAAATAGGGACAAATTGGTCCCGGCTGCGTTTTCAGTCGTTAATACATACTTTCCTATCCTGACTAGGCCAGCGTCGAGGATCATGGCCCATTCTCCTTCACCATTCATAAAGAAGACCTGAGCCCCTGCAGTAGGAACATTAAAAGGCTAATGATGATGTAGATTATCTTTGATATTGCGACGGCACTAGGAAATAAATATAAAAAATAACAGACAGTGTCTTTTTGATAGCAAACAATAAAAAGGAGTGATTACTAAGGAAAATGGAAAGGAAGTTCCTAAAGTAAGCACCTATGTTTGATCCGTCAGGTAGAATAATATTAAATTTCTTTATATATTTTTATTTGAATGTAATTAAATATAAATACTTTTATATTATATATTGCTATAAAGCAATAACTATATAGATAGGACCTACATAATTTTCAAAACGCTCAAAAAAAGTTACGGTTAAACAACGTTGGTAATAAAAATTTTACAATTTTTCACCTCAAAAAAATCAATAAACGTTGTATTATAGATCCCTAATGTTTTCCATAGAGATGGTCTTTGCATTTCTGACGATTAAAGTATCTATAAGCAACAACCCTACTTGTTCAGGCTATTATCGTTCGCTAGGGGCACCAGTCGGCGTACTATTCTACAATATTATGGTTCGAGTACGTAATTTCACAGAGTGCAAATTTGGTAATATGGCTCTTAAGTAGAAATATTTATAGAGAAAACAATGACTATTAAGTTCGTACCTACCTATATTATTACATTTATTATTATATCGCTGTGAACTGTCAGATCACGTTTTGAAGTGTATATAGAACGAAAATATTGACACAGCAGAACAAATTTGATTTAATATAACTGTTAAACTATTTGAACAATATTGATTTGTTCGTCATATAGATCTAAGAGAAATTCTGTTTATAAAAATATGCGTTTATACTCAAACTTCGTCTGCATTGATTTAGATATTGTAAGGAAATTGTGTTTGTATTTGTGTTTGTCTTTCGCCATGATCGTATGATTTTGTAAGAAACAGTTGGGAAGCTGGATATAGATGAAGCGCATGGCTCAAAACATTGTAATTTATTTTCTCTATAGTTATTTCTCTTTGACTCGGCCGCGAAACAGTCTAGTCTAGTACACATGCCTTAAATACATTAAGGTTTAAAATCAAGTGAAGAAAATGGACAGGTTTGAATATCCTGATGTGCTGTTTTCTTAATATTTGATTTCAAACTATGTATTTTGATCAAATTTCGAATTACAATCAGCAATTTTTATCGCAATTCCTTTTTTTTTATGTTTACAATAATGATTGTTTATCTATAGGTACTAATTTAATAAAAAGGAAAGATTTGTTTATTTGCATCGAATAGGCTCCTAAGCTACTAGACTGATTTTAAAAATTCTTTTACCAATGAGAAGCTACATACGCGGGTGTCATAGGTTATGATATAAGTCCCTGTAAAATAGCTAGTAAGAAATAAAACTTAAAATTTGTATTAGAATCTAGAGAATGTTCTAATATAAATTATAAAATAGATATGCGTTGTAAATTAGATTGAACCGTTATTGGTTCAACAAGTTTAAGCCACTCGTACATTATAATAGTCCCAGATACCAGATAGTAAAGTCTAAGCAATAACGTGTTTTATAAATTAAGAGTTATTATTTACTTCCAGATTAAATTGACATGGTGTCAGTTATATAATGGCGACTACAACAATGATAGTATCACCATTGGCTATTCAACCGTCGCCCAAAAATAAACGAAGACTTTTTACTGAGGCAAAGCAAAATAGCCTCCAGAAACTCAGCATTATTTTCGACCATGGCAACAAAAATGGTAAGTTAAAAAATACTCACAGAATCATACATATCGTGACTCATTTTGATATGTTATTAGGTACGTAGTTAAATATTTCAAAAGTTTGGCTTCCGCTGAATATTCTGTTTCCAGTTCTTGGTTTTTTTTTCTGTCATTCGTTGACAATAGCAAAGAGAAGCCACAATCACAGATAATTGGTCCATAGTGACAATGGCCATTATGTTGAAAAAATTGCGATACTTTTATAAAATGTGCGCGATTCATAGATTAATTATTTTCATTGATGATTCGAGTTATAGAATTTCTAATTCAAGACAAAAGTTATTTTAAATTTTTTTTATTGTGGAGAACATTTAATAAATTAAATCAGAAAAGATATCATTATATTTATTTAAAAGATCCAACAGCCTTCGAAAGACATTTTTGCTTGAACATTTGAATACGGACTTTAAAATCGCTGTCGATAAGGCAGTTTAGTTTTTACATATATTGATAGGTGGCAGCACAAAAGGTAACAATAAATGGCGCTTGAAACGGCGTTTTTGCGTGACTGTTTTGCTTCAAAATTGTCATACTTGACGTTTGTAGCATGAGAGTTGACGTTTTCTACATTTTCTTCTATTATGGTAGAAACTAATAACATTTGTGAAGTGGTATTGAAGTTAATAATTTATCATGTCATTACTTTTTGGTCAACATTTTACTGAAAAATTAATAATAACATTTTTATTTATTATATTATGTAAATTAAAACAATACTATATTAACATAGATATTATAAGTAATAAAAATGTTTTGACTAATAAATATATATGTCTTGACTTATAAATAAAAAAAATATATAAGCAGAATATATTTATTGCCAATTGAATTCCAATGTGACTATAACGTCGTCGATTAAAACTGAAGCTTAAAAAGTCCAACTTAACTTTTATTATGTACTTGTAATTTTGTATTAATATTTTTTAATAAATTTATTTTTAAAATAACCCCTGAACAATAATTGGTAGGAAATATATATATTGGAAACATTATTTGAAATCTGTATGGCAACACCGATGCCTGCAGTAATTATTTGTATGTATTTCTGAGCGCCATTGCTTTTTACCGATGTAATGTTGAAATGATTTTAATCTATTTTCATCGTCAAATCTGTGTGATGTTTTAGCAAAACATTGAGGTGATTGTGTACTAAAACTATTGAACTTCTTAAAGTTTTGTGCTGGGCTTTGTCATGGCCGGTAAGTGGTGACTTTTATCGCCCGCTAATCAAGGGCGAAATTGGATTTGGGAATCGCAATAATTCGAAGATGTTTTATCGTTCGAACTCTGACGGTAAATGCAATGTTATTGTCATTAGTGTGGTTAACAGTATTTAGTGTTTACATACTGTGATGATGGCTTGATGTAAATGTTTGGTTATCATTTACGCCGATAGATTTTAACCTTTTTGCTCTCTGATCATTTACTGTTACGCTAAATAATGTAGTTTGAAGAGGTCTCTCGCAACGGTCTTGGCGTTGTAAAGTATCATTAACGCGATGTTATATTCCGTAAATAATGCGGGCGCTCAATGGTTGTTTGTATGAAAGCAGATGATTGCGGTTGTTGATTTTGAAGGTCAGTGTAGCGTATTTGGTGATTGACGTTGCATATTTTCATACTGAAAGACAAGATAGTTGGCTATATCCTTGTTTAAAGTAGTAATTACTTTGGCCATCGTAACTACTTGTGATGTTTTTCTACCGAAGCTTTTGCAATAAAACACTGGCTGAAAATAAAATAAAATTTAGATTAAAACAACCAGTTTTGTTTAAAATTGAGGTTATATCTAAATAGTAGCTGATAGTTTTTCACACTTATCACATCTGATTCATCAATCAACATAAAACTTGCCATATTATCTAATTACACAATGCTTCCTTGTCTTTACATAACAACAATACTTTGTCAACACTATTTTTGTTATCTCTAAATAATTCATCACATCTATCTATGGTGAAACTATTCCTGATATGAAAGTGGACCTTTATCAATAAATTTTATGAATGCTTTTATAAATATTTAATTTATTGTAATTTTAGTTGGAAAACTGTATTATAGTTATTATTGTAAATTTTGATTAAAACACGTATTTTTCAAGTTATGCAAATACATCGTTTTTATTAATTTTGAAACGAAATTACAATTCTTCTTTGGGTATAATGTATTTTCTTAAAACTAAAGTATTTTCTAGTAATTAAATACATAATATTGACATTTTTAGCATTTAAGGTTTTCTTAGTTTATACTTCTAATCAAGGACAGTATTGATGCTAGACATCTGTGTTGTACCATCATAGCTATAATTGGTGTTGTGCCAAAACAACTTTCAATATTTTCCTTTGGCCTACTTGACGAAAATTGTCTATGGATTATTGTAAAATGTTGTAGTTGATTAAGAGGTGGAATTAATATAGAAAAAATATACTTAAAATAAGTTTCAAAACTGTTGGTTGGATAGTTATTATCTTTTATTGTTTATAACATCTTTTGAAGAGAACTTTGACAGTGAAAATATTTCTACATACAGTATGAACTTTACTTTTAATCATCTAGATGTGGTGACTTCTAAGTTATTCAATTGCACATTAATTTGTTTAAGTTACTGTTATAAACAAGTTTAAAAAAGATGAAGATTGTGCTTTACTGCAAAGCAACTTTACTAGACACAGTAAATCTTTAAAGAAATTACTAGCAATCATAGTAATAAGAAATTCAGCCAGTTGCATAAATGTCTGTTAAAATTGTCATTTGTTTAAAGCAACCTTACTCATACTAATTTGACATTCAGTGGAGCTTAAAGGCGTCATTAAACCTTAATGGACGTATGTTCACCGGACTGATAATATGGTTAGCAAATTAAAAAAAAACTTTATTTGAAATTGGTAAAAATAGCTAACTTACATTACTCATTACTTAATCACAGAAAATAATATGTGCTCTCAAATAAACTTGTACTTTTAATCTGCAGAAACAATAATGAAGGTAATAATAAAAAAAAGGTTGTAAGAGTTAGTTAACTTGGTGTCAAGATAACCTTCTAACATGATGAAACTTGATAATTGTCTTATGCATGTCTTTCGCCACTGTCATTTGAATTATCTTTCCACTGTTTATATACTACATACAAATGATGAGCACACTTGTTGCTGGACTAAAATAACCCTTATTATTACACAATGAGGCTTAGTCACAAATCAAAACAACTTGTAATCTATTCTACTTACTTATGTATTGTTAATCTTTTGTTTCTGCCACTTTTGTTTTACATCCCTAACATAATAGGACCTCATACACAAAACATGGAGCTGCCTTACAAAATGAAATCTCCTTACAAAAGTGTCCTGTTACTATTTCATGTTAAAGAAAACAGGTTTCAAAAAGCCATTTTATTGTTCACTTCTAGATTAGACTTGTTTCAGTGACAATGTGTCTTCCAGCCACTTTAATTTACTTGAATTATGTTTGTTAGTTAACCTTTTTAATATTGCCCATATCAATTAAAATAATATGTGTTGAAATGCTAAAAAAGAAAGAGACTCCTTGGTATTCCAATCATCGGATTCGTATTCAAGATAATTTCACTAATTGGAGACATCAGTCCTGTCGTACTCATTGGAACACTGTATGCGATTGTATGTATTTTTTACAATTAATTCACCAAACTTGATGAGACCGTTGCGAGATTTGTAATGACACAATTGATAATGCTTACATTAAAACAGTAGATTCTTAAAAAAGTAGTACTAATTATGACATTGAGACTAAAAATCTAAATAATTTTTCAATGGTGTACTGCCAATTTCACTTCCTTTATTTATATATATCACTAATAAAAACCATGCTCTTTTAAATCATTTGGCTCTGGCTTTCTTTATGCAACTTTTTGAATGTTTTTCTATAATATTCATATTTTTGGGGGTTACATGTTCATGGGTCATCATTTTCTATTCATGTTATGCCGGCATGTTTTTCTTAGGCTAACTTATATATTTTGTAACATAAGCCATTTCTTTTAAATCTACATATTGGCAGGTTACAAAATTAACTTTCTGTATAAAACAAGAACTTGAGTAATTTAAATTTGCTTTAAAGTATATTTACATTTGGATAAAAGTCGATATAGTGTAAAAATTTTTTTGGTCTGCAAAAAAAAAAAAATAATAAAATTAACCTAATGACGGTAGTAAAAGGTTTTATTTATTTTAATGTGCAAATGTGTCAAAATAATAATGTTTCAATTAAACCAGATTTCAATAAATTCTATTTAGTCGAGGGTCCTGATGTTACAAAGTAATATTGCACAATGATCTCCCTTTATGGAAGTATGGCAACTATGGATAAACTTGCGTTGAATTAAGACAATCAAACTTAGCTAAGTTTATCTTGTTTTTTCAAGATGCTGTAGCCAAGTTTTTGTGTAGATCCTTTGTCATTGCATAAAATTTAAAAACAATTATAATATTGCATCTATTGGGGGTGAGGATAACACCACATTCTCTCAATACAAGACTATCATGACCATTTTGTAAATTAGTATCTATAATAATTTTAATAGGTTGCTTTATGACCAAAGAAATTCAGCAATATTTTTAAATTCTGCATGCAAACAAGTTGTTTCTTTAATTTACTATGTTGTTCTCTATGTTGCAGGTAATGGTGGTGAGACGACATGGTGTTTCAGTCAGGTGAAAGGTACTCTCGAGGATGATGTAACAGAGGCAGACCTGATATCCTGTGTGGAGTTTAACCACGATGGAGAACTCTTGGCCACTGGTGATAAGGGTGGAAGGGTTGTTATATTTCAGGTAACTGATCTATATAGCAACCACAATCTTAAAATCTTTAAGGGAGAGTATAAATTTGTTGAGAAAGGAAATTCCAAGGCTGCTCAATAAGACAAATAGAAAGATACCGATGCGAAATGGAGAGAGTATGTTAGATATATTATTGCAATCAGGGGTGTATTACCCTAGGGCCATAAGGGACCCAGAGAGGAAGGCTGCAAGTCTGTCCAAGCAGCACTTGTTTATTCTTATTTTATATCAATTTGTCTGATCTCTAGGCATACCACTTTGCCATAGGATTCGTATATCCATAGTATACAGATGAACCATAATTTGCTTTATGTTCAGGTTTTAAATAGATTAATTTTGTCATTTTTTTATCGGAACAAATATTTAAGATTGTATTTGGTGAATTTAAATATTCATATTCATGGAATCAATCAGTTCAAGTCCAACGACTCAAGCCCAGCAATGACAGTTTTGACTAATTGGAACTCTTTAACTTCATGATCTAATTATTCTGATTATTCTAACATGACATCACAGAAGAGGGAATCTTTACTTAATAAATTTTATGGTTTAAATTCCATAAATCATTAGGTACTTCATGGTACTATTGTAGTCTGTTTGTTTTAGAGAGATCCAGCTTCTAAGCAATGTGTGCCCAAGAAGGGCGAATACAACGTCTACTCTACGTTTCAATCACATGAACCTGAATTTGATTACCTGAAGTCATTAGAGATTGAGGAGAAAATCAATAAAATTAGATGGCTCAAGCGCAAGAATCAGGCCCACTTCCTACTGTCCACCAATGATAAGACTATCAAATTATGGAAGGTGCGTATTTCCTTATTATTTCGTTATATATTTTTTATTTAAAAGCAATTTAGAAGTTCTTGAATGTCTTGGATAGTATTATAATCAAATCTTAGTGATTCATTTTGTAACTTTAGATGATTGTTAAATTGTTTGTTGTTGAATAAGGATAAAAGGTTTGAGAAAATATAAAAAAACAAATTTTGCTCTAAAATTATCAAATTAGCATTCAAATAAATGGAGTCTGTGACTGAACTTGTGAATAATTGATGAGTAAATAGTATAGATTTATCTACTTTGCGTGAGATCCATTAATCAATTAAAGTCGACGTTACTGCCTTGAACTAGTATTAAATGGTTGACAATAAAGATTTTGAAATTTGAAAATCACATGACTTGGAATAACATGTTCGGAATGTTGTTACAATTTCTGTGATCTTTAGTGTATGGAATTATTTTATAGTCATTTGTCTTTGTTTAATCTAGAATTAGAATGATCAAAACAGAATTGATCTGGTTGAAACTGCTCTGTTTTTGTTTGTGTCTAGATATTGGTAGCAATTCAAATCTGTTGCGTGAATTAAACAAAAAATATTTTTAATTATGTGAAATTACATTTTCATTTCTGTATATAAAAGATGACGTGTTTCATCTGTCTATTAATGTCTGTATTGCTGACAAACAGGCATAGCTTTAAAATCCAACCTTTTAAAGCACACACCAGTAACGTTAAAATTAACCCAATTTTAAGATTCGTTTTAACATTCTTCCATTTTCGATCTTTTTTTAGTTTAGATAGTAGTACAATATAATTCGCACCAGCAATCTCTTTACACTTTGTGATAATCAATTTAAACAGCAAAACACTCGCCCAAACCGCCTTAAGTAATATATAATGCATGAACGAACTGTCTTTATAACCAATTAATTCCAATGTCTTCCTTTACATCTCATTCATATTTCACACATCATATCTGCCATCTTGAATAAATAACGACGGGTTCAGTTATCGCAGGTGTCGGAGAGGGACAAGCGCGTGACGGGATACAACACGCGCGAGGAGGGGGGGCGGCCTAGAGACCCGGCGAGAATCACGCAGCTGCGCGTACCCACAGTACGGCCCGCTGAACTCATGGTCGAGGCATCGCCGCGGTGAGTGAACCAGCGTGTTAGTGAGTAGGGCTTAGCCATTTGGGCTTACATTAAACTGTTAGTTGCGCATACACATTATTATTATTTAGGTTTAAGAAGCTATTCCTAATGCAACGGTAGTCACTGCGACCTATAAGATCTTTGGTGACTTCCTGCTAAGGTCATACTACCTCATTTAGCCTGGTAGCTTCTAAGAACTCTATGATGTTTCTGGCTTTCAGAGCTTTAATATCATCTGGGCTGGTTATGTGTCGTCCTAGATGGATGCTTGTGTTCATACACATAGTAAAGTCTGCCAAGATTTTATGGTTAAGGCGTCACTGCAGTGAGTTAGGTAGCGTCACGTGAATGGAGATTAGGCGTCTGGGTTAAATTAACCAGTTAGTTGGGAGTGCAGACACGCACATTGGACCAATTAAATCGTCTTTAGTTCGTAAAACTTGAGCCTCACCTAGTTGGTTGTGCATATCCTTAGTAAAGCCTAAATGTTCGTGCATCGCCAATGTGAGTAAGGCATCTTCACGTGAGAAGTGTTTGGCAATTGTGTGTACACATAGAATGGTCCACCAAGCTGGTCCCTATGATGGTCGAGGCATCGCGTTGGTGAGATTGGCTTAGCCATTTTGGTTGCGTTAGATAGTTGTGCTTACACATAACACCACCGCCAGTTTTTTTCCATCAGGTGTTCAGATCAGAGTGTTTCAGATTGATTGTTTTCCAAAATTATTAAAGCCCTGTTTTGTTATACACACAAGCGCTTTTACCTAACTATAATGAAACAAAAATGACACCTTAAAGTCGTAATTAAACCTTGATCGACGTCAACTGTGCAATAAGGAGGCTATTACAATACGGGATAACTCTTGCCTAAACTTATCAAATACTTGTGTAGTAGGTAACAACAAAAAAAAAATCTGTAACTTAAGTCCTTTGTTATTTATTTTCTTCACGCTGTTACCTGCGGCTTTGTTCTAATGATCAAAGGGAAATAATTAGATATTATTCAATATAAATACACATTAAAAGACTCGATGTATAACCTCGGTATATAAATATTATATTTGATTAATCTTGCATTCACAACGCAATACTGGAAAATATTGTTAATGAAAAATACTTAAAAATCAGCATTCGCCCGGTTTGCGGAAAGTCATGGGTTCGATTTCCATCTCAGAGTGCCAGGGAAAAAGGATGGATGATTGATTTTTAAGGATTTTTCGAAAAGAATATTTCTCGCTATATAATATTATTTATGGATAAAGAGTATTAACTTTTTGATAGTCTATTTGTATTTAATTCATGAACGGGATTCGTAAATTCCAGTGCGATACTATATTTTCTCTACCATGTTCTCTATTCATGTTTGCTCTATAGATTTGGAACAGTATATTTCACTTTTGAAAGTTAAAAATCGATTGCAGTCACTTATCCGGTATGATCAGTACGTGCAGTACGTGCTGTATCGTGCCGTGTGTGTAAAAAACTATTATACTTTTTGAATAACAAGGAATATTAGCTCATGGTTATTCATTAATTTTTATAAATTGGTATAGTTTTGATTTGATAATTCAATCAAAACTTATTATTTTCCGTTTATTACCAATGACAGATGGGCTAAAATACAAACCTAGTAGGTTACTTTATTACTTAACCTACTAAGAGATATAATTAATAGTATAATAACAAACAAGCGCAACCAATTTAGAAGCCGCCTTTCATATATGTCAACTCTGCAATAATTAATTTCATTGAAATATTATTAATATTATCTTTGCAATCGCGATTCCGATCCAATATACTTTATTAATGTGATAACTTTGAATAAAATTGAACGAGCAAAGATAAATATTTATTAGATTTCAGCACTTACAGAAGAAATATTAATATCACTAGGGAAATGTTAAATGGGATAAAAAGTATCGTATTATCTAAGTCATACTATCTGTATACCAAATTTCATCAAAATCCGTTCAGTAGTTTCGGCGTGATTTAACTTTTTTAATTAGGGATGACTGAGAGTGTTATAAGCGTAAGAGTAGACAATAGACAAATACAATCAGAAAGCTTCGAACTGCTAAGCTATCGGGAGTTACACGTGTTATTGTGAGTCAACCATAAAAGATAGACATATGCTGTCGTGGGATATTTTTTATATAATTTTAAGGAGAACTTTTCCGTCATACATGATTTCTGGGTAGCTTTAACCATTAAGGTTGCACCCGCGACGGAAGCTTAAAAAATGGAGTAACTTCTCCCGTTTTCCCATCATTTCCCTTCACTGCTCTGCTCCTATTGATTGTAGCGTGATGAAAAGTATACTATAACCAGCTCAGGAGTATGAAAAATAATTGTACCAAGTTTCGTTAAAATCCGTCGAGTAGTTTTTGTTTCTATAACGGTTAAACAGACAGACAAAAATTTTACTGATTGCATTTTTGGCATCAGTATCGATCCCTAATCACCCCCTGCTAGTTATTTTGGAAATATATTTCATGTACAGAATTGACCGCTCTACAGATTAATTATAAGTATAGATTATAACTCTTGAATCTCGTAAGCTAATTAATTGTACATATTTATCTTGCTTTAAAAAGAAAGAATTGACGTCACAACACCAAAGAGTATCAATTAATCACTAAGTTCTATTATTTCGATTTCTTTATATCGCGTGACATTCGTATTTAATATCTTCTATGGCTTAGTATGTTTTAATTTAACCACTAATATATTTTATTGTATCTATTGTTTATCTATTAGAATATAATTAGTAATACCAAATAAAAATTTCTAGATGAATAAAATACATCTGTGTATAATTTTCATCCTATGTAATATGTGTATCTATTGTGTTCTTTGTTAGTGAAGATGTAAAAAATAAATGATTTAAAGAAAAACAAATAACCCGACTGCGTAAAACCGAATTTTAAAAATTACATGAAAAAATTAACTTAAATAAAAACTAAAAAGAAAGAAAAAAGCCCAGTAGTTTAAAATTCTGTTAAGTAAAACTAAATAACTACACAATTGAAATAGTTTTATAATCGATACACACAAAAGAAATCATAAATTCTAATGCAAAACAGAACGAATCAAAGTCGGGGCGGGGCCCCTTGGGAAGATTTGATTGGTAAAATTTGAATGGGCCCCGACTGTGTGTTTTTTTGTTTTTCGCAACAGTGTCAATAAGGTATCATTTCTTTTACGTAGATAGTTGGAAAGCGGAGTGTAAGCGCAACATAGCATATATAGTACCTACTAATATCATAAAGGCGAAAGTTTGGATGTTTGTTACTTCTACACGCCAATATTACTGAATGGATTTCGATGGAATTTGGTATACAGATAGTTTAAAGCATGGAATAAAATATAGGTTACTTTTTATTCCGCTAAATAGTTCCCTAGGAAGAGCCCGGGAGAGAAGCCGCCGGCGGAAAGTTAGTAGTATATTAAACATAGCTCGAAACCGAGTAACAGATAGCTTCACAATATTAGTATATTCGTAAAGAAGTAGAGTAGATCATTAAGACGGCGTGTAACAAGCATATTCAATGATTTTTTTTCCATTATTGTTACAGGCGAATATTCGCGAATGCGCACACTTATCATATAAACTCGATCTCGCTTAACTCGGACCAGGAGACTTACTTGTCGGCCGACGATCTCCGCATCAACCTCTGGCACCTAGAGATCACCGATCAGAGTTTCAACATAGTTGACATCAAGCCGGCCAACATGGAGGAACTCACTGAGGTTTGTTACCACGGTATACGTGAAAACGTATTAATCATACAATAATATAGGGGGTTGCCAAACTTATTTCGTTTACTGCCCACTTTGAGAATCAATTATTTTCTAGCGTCCTCATTTTTTTATCTACTTATAAACTACTATAACTTCAAATTAATTATTTTAAGCAGGCAGGATCAGGCAGGTGCGGCTGAGTGTATATCTGTATATTTTTGCGTGTATATAGTAGGCCTTAGTTCATTATCAGTGAATTCTGGAATTGATTTTTTTTAATGACAGTTTCTGGTGGTCAACAATATTGACTATTATATTAATTAAAAGATCTTCGCGTATAGTTTGGGAAGTGACTTTGTTTTATCCTATATATAGATATCTAAAAGCTTTTTTTTTATAAAAGATCAAAAGTTTATGTCGTCATTCGGTTCCAGTTAAGCATATACTTACCGAACCTGTTTTAGATTAACATAAAAGTACGAAAAATTTATATCATTAAAATATTTTTCGTACTCCTGATTAATGACGTAACTAAATAGCTGTATATAACAAATAAGCCAATGTCTTTATTTGTTTATTTAAATAACTTTTAGGGTTCCTTGGGTTCGTGGGTCTAAATGGAGTTCTGTTTATTGTTGATTTGTCCTATTCATTGACATTTTTTAAAATTATGTTACATTATTTTTTTTTCGTTTCATACGGTGAGTTGCACAAACTTTCATTAAGGTTTAATGACTCCTTTAGCTCTAATGAAAGTCCAAATTGTATGGATAATGTCACTTTAAATTAATGAAAGATTTAATGGACGTTTCTGCAACTGGCTGTTACAATACTACATCGAGCTCTATTTACAATATTTCATGTGTTTCAAAAACTAGATTGTAAACCAAATCTTTGTGGCTGTATGACACTAGTAAAGGTTGTATAATATTATATATTTTGTCAAAGATTGCATGCATAAAAAAGGGTTTATCTTCTAAACTGGTGATGTTACTGTCTCATAGTATTATTTGCTAGTTGTTCATAGTTGTCTTCCCTCATTTATGGTTTTTTGAGTCCAATTACACTAGCTTTCCACCAGCGGCCTCGTCCGCGTCGTCACTAGGGAACTGTTTATTTGGATATCGATTTATATCAAGACAAGGATATAAGTACAATGGCAAATCGAATAGTAAACAAAGGTTACTATGGTAACGTTTTAATATCTTATACAAACTTCCACTTCCATTTCATCGCTTGATTTGCTGTTTTTCAGGATCATATATGAGCCTATGTTCACCGCATATGATGTAGCTTCCCTTAGGTGAAAGCATTTTTTAAATCGGTCTAGTAGCTGCCGAGCCTATTCGTTGCAAACAATCAAACCTTTGCACTTTATAATATTAGTATAGATTACATGGCTCCGTATCATGTCCACGTATTTAGCACGAAAACTTACAATACGGTTTTCTATCTATGCCCTCTTCATCCCAACGTGTCATTCATAGATAATTTCGCAAAAACAATTTCTTATAATCTTTCCAACCATTTAATATCTTTTTGACAATTCGTATACTGATCAAATAGTGATGTAATGCATTACCAATTCGATTTATCTAAGTAATCGATTTTATTTATGAAGAAATTTAAATAGATATTTTATTTAATATGCATAACATTACGTGTTATTTAAAAAAAAACTGGTATTTTTTTAGAAAAACAAAAAAATATCAGTAATTATTTTTTCTAAACGATTTTCGATTAATCAATTTGCAGCGAATACATTCGATTCCACCACTAGTTGCCATAGTACGTAACTGTTTTTTAAGCACATGTACTTTCATATATAAAAAAACCGAGACATTTAAGGGACTTTAAAGTTTGTATTGGGGAATAAATAAGTATCACGAATTGTAAAGCTTTTACGAATCACTGAACAGTTACATTCTAGAGTAACAGTCAAAAAGATATTAATTATAGTATTATATAGCACGTACGAGACGAACCCTTGACATTATGAGAAATTATCATTTCATAGATACAATGCAGTCAGCGCCATTGCCCCTAATATTAAGATTATTGGTAGTGAAAAATAGATAGATATTGTCTTGTAATATTTGTATAGTTGTATCTCGTGGTTGATTTTAGGGTCTTATTTCTTGCAGGTTATTACCGCGGCGGAATTCCACCCGACTGAATGTAATCTCTTTGTATATTCTAGTAGTAAGGGTGAGTAAATATTAATTTTTATATTAACATACATATCACATCCGGTGGCGGACTAACCTCGTCGGGGCCCGGGGCGGAAACTGGATAGTGCGTTTACAACCCCCCCCCCCCCCCTCTCTGCTTAGACGCCTGTTAAAATTATGAAATTAGACATAAGAATTTATGATTTGATCAAGGGATCTTACAACCATTTGGAGGCCCCCAGGACAAGAGGCCCGGGGCACACCGCCCCTCCGCGAGTTAGTCCACCGCTGATTACATCTTTCGTATTTTTTATTTGGCCACTTTTTAAACGATTTTCCATATCAATCATTTAAATTTCTAATCATAATAGGCCTGAGACCTCAAGAAGTTATAATCAGTTTGTCATACACAAAAAAAAGTCGAATATTGCACAGCTGAGTATTATTTTAAATAAACTTATTTTAGGACATGTAGACGTATTTACTACATAAATTTTATCATCTTCAGTGATTACATTATTTCATTTGAAAATTGACATTGTTTGTATCGTATTCAGCATTATAAGTTTTTATGTTATATCAAAAGGGGTTATATTTTTAAATTAAAGTTTGCTTTATAAAATACTAGAATCTAATCTTTATAACAATGTTCATAGGTACGATAAGGTTATGCGATATGCGCGCGGCGGCGCTCTGTGATCGGCACGCGAAACTGTTCGAGGAGCCGGAGGATCCACATGCTAGATCGTTCTTCTCCGAGATCATCTCGTCCATCAGCGACGTTAAGCTTAGCAACTCTGGCAGGTGAGAATCATCATCATCAGCCCTTTTTCTTCCCCACTGCAGGGGCTTCCTTGTGGGTGGTTAAGGAGGATGGGCCACAACCCTCCACGCTGGTACAACGCAGATTGGAGGGTATTAACGGCTTAGCGTGCCTTGTGAAAGATGCAATAGCTTGAGATATTTTGACGTGGATACGTCTATGTTTTCGTTCTACAGGGGGTCATTCTGTGAGCAGGAGCTTATGCACTAACGCCATCTATTGGCGTATAAGTGAACTATGCTTGCTCTGCAGGGGGATGGGCATTCTGTCAGCAGGAGTATATGCACTAACGCCATCTATTGGCGCTAGTGAATACTTTTTCATTCAACAAATGAACGCAACGAATATTTATTTATTTAGTGTTTAGTGTCATCAATTTGTTTATTTATTTATTTTTTATCAATTAGTCATATATCCATTCATACATAGACGTATCCACGCATAAAAAAATATGGCTTTATCAATGATACAGCCAACCAGGGATTTTTTTTTGGTCACCCATCTCGTGACCGACCCTTACGAAAGTTGCTTAACAACAACAACCACCAACCGAGCTCCTCAAGGTGAAATTAAATAAATATAAATATTTGACAACATCGACATGCATTGCTCAGATTACAAGATGAATAGGTTCATTGTCGTATTTTGCAGTATCCGAGACAACGAAGGTACCACCCCTAGAACCGAGAAATATAGTACAGTTAATTTTTTATATTGACCCGACTGGGAATCGGATCTGGTACCATCAGAGATGGCGACATATTGAAACCGGCGTAACCCACTCGGCTACGCAAATCGTGTGAATCATCATTGTCAATATAGGTATTCATGTCTCCGCTGTTGCGACACAAATCTTCCTGACTACTACGTATTAGTGGATGTTACCATCTGCAGATGAAGCCGGGTCCAATGGCTTAACATGCCTTCAGAAGCATGGAGAAGCTTGAGATAATAAACTTTTCTTCAGCCATCTTATATAACTAGCCTCAAGCTAAGACCATGCACCAATCTTGCTTCCTTCATTTCCTCGACATTATATAAAGATAGAACATAAAATATGGTTTATATCATAATAAAACTACAATACTTATAGACAAACATTTTCGATAATTTGCTTTATTCACTTTAAATATTTACCTGTACTAGCAACATTGCATGATTTTTCTATTCATGTTATTTACACATACATACTAATGTATTCAATCGGACGTTTTACTCTACTAGTTAGTGCCTATTCAACAAATAACATAAAAATTTGAGAAAATGTTCTTTATACAAGTATGTTGATAGGGTTAAGCATATATTTTGTGTACATTTATTGAAATAAATTCTTATTTAGGTCTCTTTTATGTTTCAGATATATGATGTCAAGAGATTATTTAGGTTTAAAAGTATGGGATTTAAGGATGGAAACAAAACCTGTAGAAACATATCCGGTAAGTTAATAGAAGGTAGTTAATTGGATATATAGCTAATGTATACTTAATATAATGTATCGGTGTTGGATAAGTAATTCTTATATTCTAAGTATGAAGAAATTAATACATTTTTACAATGAAATAAAAACAGATTCGAAAAGCATGTATTTAGTTTAGCTTTAGTGTAATGTAGATGTAACTGATATTCATCACAGCATACTGATGACATGTATTTGACTGAATCCCTTCGGTTTTAGGTTCACGAGTACTTGCGCTCCAAGCTCTGTTCCTTATACGAGAATGATTGTATTTTCGATAAGTTCGAATGCTGTTGGAGTGGTGACGATCAGCGACTGATGACCGGATCGTACAACGGATTCTTTAGGTAATTATATGTGTATAAAAAGTAAAAGTAATTCACTGAATATCAATTATTAAAATTGAACTGAAAGCGATAAATGTATGTTGAATTTATTTTGAATTCACATTATTTTGTTTTGTTGTAGTAAATTATAATTGTCGAGTAAAGACTTCTGCTTATACTTGTATAGTAGTTGACTCGTTTTATGTTAACTATATCATAGACGTCGACTGTATTGTTTTCTCTTTACTTATTAGCAAACGAGATGGCAACGCTTCTATATGCGCTCTTACTATGTCACAATTTTAGTTCAGAACTGTTTGTCTTTAATTATACGTAGAAGTATTCAATAATCTAATGAGAGACATTAGTTTTTTTTTTTTGTGAAATTAGGTTTCTTGTGAAAATCATAATAGCAGTTGCTATTTTAATATACGATAACTGAAAACAATCGAAAACATTACAAAAATTGTGTGTGAAATCTCAACACAACCAAAATCGATAAGTTAACTCGTCAGTCAGATTGTTGAACGTAATTACGTCACCAAAATGGCGGGCGGACGGGCGCGTTAGCAATTCGCGGATATAATAACGGTGTATGTGTCGCGTCGTGTGCGCAGAGTGTTCGAGCGCGGCGTGGGCGGCGTGGGCGGTGTGGGCGGCGTGGGCGGGCGGCGCTCCGAGCTCACCCTGGAGGCGTCACGTGAGGCGGCCGCGCGGCCTCGGCAGCCGCTGCGCGCCAGGCGGGTCGCCGCCACCGCCAAGAGGAAGAAGGTACCGCACACTGCATATTTTGCTAATCATTAATATCCCCCACTGCTGGGGCTCAAGCCTTACCTATGGATCCATCCATCGAATCGAACATGAATAACCAGCCGTAACCCATCACTTGGGTCCTTTGCGAATTGGCGTGAATTAACGACTGCGGGTGTGGCCAGGATCGATGGCTTAACGTACCTTTTGAAGCACGAAGGAGCTGAAAATGGAGCTGAAAGCTGACCGGCCATTGTGAGAGTTACTTAATAACTGTATCGCAGACCGAGCGTGCTAACCACTGCGCCATCGAGCTCCTCGTACCTGCTAATGTTTACGTATTAATCGCATTTCTATAGAATCTCAACTTCTTCCATTTGGCCATTATATTATTGTATCACTAGATGGGGTAGGCGATGGCTTGCTCGGGCAAATTATTGACTTTAACAAAATTATTTAAATTAATCCAAAAATATGTTCATGAAAATCGAATCAATTTAAGCGGTAGATTTTCTGGTCCTCAATATGATAGTAGACTTAACGTTTATCCAGGGAACGTTTGTTATAGTGTATAATTTGGGGTGGTTGTGTTTGGAACTGATCCCAACTCAAGTCTTAATTTTGTTGAGACTGTGCCCAAGAGGGCACGGTTTCCGCATTGTCCCCATTCCTCTTTGCTTTTCGCCGAAATGCTTTTGGGCAAATACAATAAATGATGATGTCTATTTGTCAACAGGACGAAATCAGCGTAGACTGTCTCGATTTCAACAAGAAGATATTGCACACCGCGTGGCATCCGCACGAGAGCATCATCGCAGTAGCAGCCACCAACAATCTGTTCATATTCCAGGACAAGTTCTAGCGCGAGCCGTAGCACCGGCCCGTAGCTGCGGCTACTGCTACGGCCACTACGTCATATCGCGTCACCGAATCGTAACGCTTCCTAACTCAAGTGGCGTACGTACAAACATAAACCTCTTTTTATTTGAACTGCAGCCGTAGCTATTCGTTTTATATATAACAGAAACGTAAGGAAATCAGTCTGATGATTCGACGAAATTAGCTCAATAAAGAATTAAAATATCTGTAATAAAAGTGATATAGCGAGAAAGCTCAACGTTGTCACATGAGAAAACTTGTGTATGTTAGAAAATAATACCTGCTGTTGTCTATATATGGTTCGATCGAAACGCTATGGACGGATAAGGCGACGACCTTAATACCGAGCGTATAAGGTTCAGTATTATTCGAGCGAAATAGGTAAGCGTTCAAACGCTATGTGAACTAAGTCCTAAGTTATAGGCGTTAATCGTGAAGTCTGCGCCGATAGCTGTCGGTAGAATATATAGGTTTTATATGGTAAGATTTGTATTTGTAATAGCGTGGAGGAAATAGTACTGTTTTAAAAGTACGCTGCTAACTGCAGTGTAAGTTTACAAGAAAAGAATGATACTCAAATCAGATTGCGCTGAATTCGTAAAGAAATCAATATGGCATCCCAAATTCAAAGATTGTTTCTTTTGTCTAGGCTACAGAAGAGGTTTTATACGCTAGTTGGAAAAGTTATAATATCACTAGTCGTTTTTATTTTTAAAATTAGCTTACATCACATTGTGATTATTTACATTCTACTGACAGCTTCGTGTGCTGCATTGTTGTAATATGCTGCCTGATACTGTATAGGGTTGATTCCTCTTGTTAATAAGTAACCCATTTTTCCATATTAAATTCCAAAGTACAGTCTGATGTTCGGTTCTGCTGATCTTAAAATAAATAAAATGGTATACATCAGTGGTTCCCTAAGGGGTTAAGGTGGACCCCCAGATGTCCACGAAGGATTTAACGGGGGTCTACGTACTCACCCGCGACGCCAATTTCCATCGTTCACATTTTGAACGAATTTTGGGAATATGGTAAAATCGTAGCAGCAGGGGGTCCACTGAAATCAGTTAATTTTTTTAAATGGTCTACGAGAAAAAGTTGTTTGGAACCTCTGGTATACATAGTAATTTTCGTATCACCTGGATTAATATAAATTCTTTTTATCCCACTAAATGGTTTCCTAGCAACCATGCGGGTGAAGCCGCTGGCGGAAACTGGTTAACGAAAGGACGGGTGTGTGAAGCACAGTCCTACATGTTGCTTAAGCAGTAAATTAAGTGAAATTATATTTTTGTATCAAAGTAAAATGTAGTATACAGTATTATCGAAATTGGTAGAACAGCTGTTGTTGTTTTTAAAATTTCATGAGGTTTCCTGTAGCTAAACTAATCAGTAACCCTGTCTAAAGATTTTTAATTGTTTAGATTTCATGACTATGGCATGGTTGATGTATATGAAAATCTTTGAGTTCAATGTGAAATATTAATTAAATAATTGTCATGGTTTTTATATACCTATACAGTATGCAGCAGCCTTAGCTAGTTAGATTGTAAGCCGGTTATTTCTAATCTGACATAATTTATACGCTTTTCACACATAAGGTACTAAGCGATAATTAAGTATTTATTATTGTTTAACATGGAAAATGGGGACGACCTCTTAATCATGTGAAATGAGATTAGTTAGGTATATTATATCAAATGTCGTGGGTAATGAACAATTTAAAAGTTATATGTTACGTTTGAAATGCGCGATTTTCCGATAGTCATATTTGTTTTGCATCAACTTCATACGCTATTGAATTTCTTATAAAAAATATGATCTCTATAAATTGAAATTGCAGTATCTTTGTTATATATATTTTTTGTTATTCAGTATTTTTTGTTACTATCGGTGTCATTATAGGATCGTGCATTTTAAATGTAACACTCATTGTTATAGCATTGGTATCAAAACTATGCCCAAACAGAATATCAATATCAATATGCAACGATTTGTTTTTGCTGTTAAAAATGTATTCTCAATTAAGCGAATGCTTGAATTACCACCGCGTCGGAGTCTCTTCGTAAAGTGAGGGAGTTTTAACTAGTAATGATGTGTAGTATATGTAAAAACTTAAACTAAATAAGGCTTTTTAAAATTGATGTTTGCTTTAAAAGTCACATTAATTTTGTGATTTTTGTGCTTTTATTTTTTTACTGGATTTGTTTTTATTTAACTAATTTAGAATTCAATATTGGCAAAAGTTAAAATTATTCACTGTACGAACAGATTTTTGATCTCATCGCCGACATATCAATAGGATTTTACGGATATTGTGATGAAAGGAATCGAGGTTTCAAGGCTTTGAATCTTAGACACCTTAGTCGGCTTTTAATGTGCTTGAGTTTTTAAATTCTTGACCCTAAGCTTTGACTGTAGCTCACATGTTTATAATTCCTTTTTGAGTGGAACAATTAGTTATTTCCCGTCTGGGACCATGATAAACTACTGGTTTCGACCATTGTAAATACTGTACAATCTTTATATCATCGGGAGGTGATTTGCAACTTTTAGGGGTGATTTGGCCGATTCGCAGTTGTTTCAATAATGTTAAAATGTCTAATTTCACGTTAGTCTAAAATCAATCATCATATAAAAATAATTTTATATCATAGGAAAATACTTAAAATAGCAATGTCAATGTAAATTTTATTATTGTAAGCCGGCTAAATACAGACATAATACAGGCTAAATCTTTATATCTGTTCGTCTTCCCAATTCTTTTAACTAGGGCATGAAAATGGAACAAACGATATAATTTTTTAAGTCCAAAGAAGGCAGATAAGATCGTAGACGCCGTGTGACTCTTATTCTTACTTATTCTTCTAAAGTTATTAGTAGTTATTGTTATAGTCTATAAAGATTATGATAGTCTAAAAGATAGAAGTTGAGAAGCCTCGAGTCCGATCATCTCTAGATATTGATCATAGATTTCACAGATCTGGTTACTTAGAGAACATGCCACAAAGTAAGTTGTATTGAGATATGTCGAGTATAAGTTAATTTTGAAAATATGTTCCAAGTTACCTAGACTGTGCGTTAACATCGAATTGAAAATGATAAAAAAACGCGAAGACACTCCCTACATACGTAACTTAACAAACAAAATACTGGATATTTTTTTATTCTCGGCCCGTGCCTTAACTATATGTATTAGTGATTTATTAAACTCTATTTATTATATAACATGTCTTTTTCCTTTGAGTAGGTATTTGTGAAATCTGTATTTTAATTTGCACACTTTCGGTGAAAACAGTGGCGTTCGAATTTGTATTATTTATTTTATAGGTATTAAAAAATAGATAGAAAGCTTGCGGAATCTTAACTCTACTTAATCGTTATACACAATTTGATGAGATTTTGAAATTCATTGTAAAAATAGAGCTGTGAGCCGAGAGTATTGTGTAATATTTTAATAATTTTTGGGCATGCTATACTTACGGGATGAATTCTATGTGTTTTTTTTTACTTGTTACTTTTTAATTCGCTTAAACGTAAGGAATCTTAAAGGCTGTCTATTAGTTCTACACTGATGTAACCTACTGAAAATTGAGTATCGGTCATCATTGTTTGATTTTGTGCAGCGATTGCTGATTGAGAGGACACTGAATGTGCTCGGTACCTACCGGGAAGTTCGTCTTTGTAGTACTGTAGCGACCTAAACCAGTATCAAATAAAAAAAAAATATATATATTATGTAAATATGTTAGCAAACGAATGGAGGCCTGAACAATATAAATATATAGAATATTTTGTCACAACATTTGAAAATGTACAGAATTATATTATCGTAATTGTACTTTTGATTGTGTAATAAAGCTTGCTATTAACGTAAATTATGTTCAACATATATGTGTATAGGCGAATGAATTGGTTCTTCTTTTATTTTTGTATTATTGTTTTTTTGTTGGCTGTATGATGTATGTTGGAGCTAAAATCTCCGATGTTTTTATAGTGTACATTACTCTGTGGGTATAATGTCGCCTCTTCGCCTTTTAATAAGGCGTATTGTTTGACTGTTTTCAGGCACTTCCATAGCTTTTGTTGATGTAATTATTAAATCCGTATCTTTTCGATGTTGGTTGATTTTGTATAGGATGTGTTAAGTTTTAGTTCTTTTTTTTTTGTAAAGGGACCAGTCAATTCCTCTTCCTGTACGTATGTGACTGATTCCGAATCGCCATTCTAAAGCTGAGGGTTATTTGTTTGTAAGTAATAATAAAATTAAGTGTGATAAATAATATTGCCTTTGCAGCTAAATTTGAATTTTGCTTGATCTGAGCAATAATAGTGGAACATTGGAATTGACTACGTCCCCTCGAGAGATATCATTGTAAAAATATATAGTAGTATAAAAGCAAAGACAGCGTGCGTGTGCGAGTGCTAGTGTGCGAGCGAGACAGGCGATGCATGCGCGATTTAATTTAAGTCTAGTTTATAGTTAGGCAAAAACTGTGAACGCGAATGCCGTGCAAGAGAAATCAGATTTTTTTTCTTTACGAGGGATCAACAGGGGTTTGCTTGATATATGTGATATGTCGCAATAAGCGGTGTGTTAGTGTTATGGACAAAATTTGTATGTGAAGGAAGGCCTTTTTTCCGTTTGGTGACGATCGGAGCGACCTCTAACGTGGTTGATTGTTAACAACGAAACAGGTGAGCGGCGCGCGTGCCTTCTAGATGTTTCCTAGATGTATAAAGATTAAATCAGAATCGATTTTTTAAATTTCCCTGGTCGTTACATCAAAGTTAAGCTCAGCTGGCGAAATAAGGACTCTATGGCAAAATATAAAGTTTAGTTTCTGGTTTGATCTTTGTACATCGTAATAATTAGCTCTAATCAAATGGGCTCAAATGTTTGCTGTATTTTTATATAATTATGTACACTTAACACAAAGCGCATTCTGTTACTTTTTAGTGGTTTTTAAGATAGTTTTGTTATTATTTTGTCAAGTTTCATCAATAACAGTATTTCATTTTTATGAATAAAGTCAATAAAGTAAACATAATTGTCATTCAGTTAATATCATGTCAAAGTAAAAGAAATACGACACGTCAGTAAAATGATATTAGATGTACAGTCAATATTACTGCAAGTTATACAAAATTGATGATTTTCTCCACTTTATTTTAAACTTTAATTTATTGAATATAGAAATCAAAATCTAATGCAGAAATATGACATGTGGTAACCTGTCGTGTAGCGGCGTGTACGTATACGCCCGGCTTACATGGGGGTAGTTTTCCAAGCAAGAATAGCAAGCTAGTGCCTCTTATCTTATTACTACTACAAAGATTTATTAACCTAAAAAAATAAGCTAATTTTGTATACACGCAGATATGCACTAACTTGCTAGCTTACTAGCACTGGCTTGCAGGCATTGTTTATAGGATTGAGCCGCACGTTTCATAGTTCTTTTTATGAAATTATACTTTAATATTAAGATTTTGAGCATTTTTGAACTTTTTTTAATAGCGGACATTGTAAAGTGTTGGCATTGCTGTTGTTGTTTGCTGATTTGCAAGATTCTTGATAACCTGAGATTAGAGATGCTTTTCACTGAGCTATCGATCAATAAGAATTTACATTACAATCTGATATTGTTTTTTGATTTAAATTATATGCACTTTAATTTTACTAGACATGACTTGGAGCAGTTCTAACCGAGAATTTTAGCCATTTCACATTATTCTTGAATATATACACAGTTGTACTCTAGTATTTCAACTTTTTATTTATTTTACTACTGATTTTGTTGTATATGTTGTTAAAAACCATATAATGAAAAAATATTATCTCTAAAATTAAAAGTATGAGTTGTATGTCTCATTAAAAGGTAGGTAACCGCTTTAGTTTGATTTAAACTGAAAATGAAAGTGCTTGATTCTATAATATGCATTCTGAGCCTTATTTGGTTAGGAATTGTGTAATATTTGCTTTGGTTTCAAATACATTGTGACCAGGATGCGTAACGTGTAGATGTTGTTCATTGATGAAGTGCCATGACGCGTTGAATGTGAGGTGCGAGCGCTCGCCGCCTATGATAAGAGTTGTTGTTGAATCCAAAATATTTCCTATAATATAAATTTTTATATCTGATGCTGATGTTTTATTTATGGCGTGTATTACCAACATCATTAGCCTTTTCACATCCCCACTGCAAGGGCTCAGGCCTTCCTTATGGACGGTTAAGGAGGATGGGTCATGACCCTACACGCTGGTCTAATGCGGATTGGAGGTTATTAACGATTTGCACGCAGCCGGGAGCAACGGCTTATTGCAGATATTTCAAAATTCACAAAAGAAAAAAAAGCACTTAGGGAAAGTTTTTATTTATAAATACCCACAAATCACACGACATGTATCACAAGACTTAACATTAAGGCAACGTTTTCATCGATTGGTCAACAAGACCAGTCGATATCCTTTAATATTGCTCTTGAGTTATGTTAGGACGCCAATGGTAACTAGCGATTCAGTTACTAGACTAAATTCAATCTTTGAGACTAAAATAGCAGAAGTATACTTTATATACGAGGGCATAATTATATTTCTTTGATAACACGAGTCTACAGCCCCCTTACTCTCGAACGCAATCGTTACCGATCGAAGGCTAGTTGACAACTTTTTTTATTTTATAAACAAATAGTCTATTAATTTCTGAGATATAATGTAGAAGTAACAGCATGTCTGCGATTAATACTTACGAAGATACGGTGCTGTTTGAAATTGATGCTAGTCGGCCGAAAACGCTCCCTACGAATTCAAGGCACCAAGTGACGTTACACTGCTTTGGTAGCGAAAAACATGGGCAGCGTCTGGGCAATCTTTATTATTTGTGCGTTTACGTTTATAGCTGTTATAATGAAAGTTGTAACGTTTTATGTAACTAATTTAATGCCATATGTATTTTAGCAAAATTTGGAGTATATTTTCCCTACTCTTCAAGTTTTCAAAGAGTAATATTTTCCAAATTATTGTAATCAAATTTATTTTGTTAAATATTTCTAAGTTGAAATGGTCTATATTTTCCAAACATATCACAAGCCTATATAAATGTAATTTTGGATGGTATACACTAGTGTCAGAGTATGCTAGTGAACCCATCAAAAGTGCGGAGCGGCGCCGATCAGTCGCGATTGCGTTCGAGAGTAAGGGGGAAGGATAACGTTAAATAAACTAAAATAAAAACTTCTTTTTTAGTTTAGAGAGTGTCAATTAACATAATTGGCGTCGAATGTTGATAAAACTCGAACTTGTCACTCGAACTTTATGCTTACTCTTGAACGCAATCCCGATTAATCGTCCATGTTTCGTACTTCTGATTTGGTACACTTGGTTAATGAATGAACTAATGAGGAAGTATTAAAAAAAAACCGAAAGCAGTAAAAAAGCACCTCCACTAGATGGCGACTCTAGCAAAAGTTGATTTTTGCAGGAAACATATGGACCAAAGACAGTCATCTCCGTTCCTTTTAATTAACATATTAAAAAACTGAAATTTGAAAAAATCGAAACTTAGATGTCAATACAAATACGAAAAAGTACAAATAGAATATGAATTGTTTATTGAGTTTTGAAAACTTATTTACTTTTAAACATGAAAGAAAACCGGAAATGTCATGGAGAAATCAAGAACGTACCGTAGCGACATCTAGTTTGATTTCGGGAACAATTTTTTTTTTAATACCTCTCATTGACATTGAATAAAGCGGTCTAATGTTTGATGAAAATTAAGACCGTCATTGGAATGGATTTAAATTGCGTTTGAGATTAAGCCTGCTGAAAGTCGCATTGAATGACGTGAACAGAGCTAAGTTATGTGTAGGTAACTAAACAATGGTTATAAATTACTTAGTGGGTATATAACTGCATCTAAATGCGTATATATAATTTGTAACAAAATTTACCCAAAAAAATATTTTTCTCAAAAATACTTGAGAACTAGAACAATTGTTTTACATAATCAGATACTAACAGTAATATACTGTTAATATAATTTAGTGTCAAAATAACATTAACAAAAAACTTAAAGCGATGTATAAATTCCACATAATTTTACAAGTTGTCATGCTACTTTCATTTGGTTCATATACATTTACATTATACATTTACATATACATTTGATAATATAAGTTTGTAACATAGATTTACTATTATTCTTAATCCCAATATAAACCTATCCGCTGGAAATAACTTACATCTACTTCGCTATATACAAGCTACCCGAACTGACATTTTATAACTAACTACTTTATACAAATTTAAATGTTGAATTAATTATAAAAAATAATCATTATCAGCTCTCAAATTTTAAGAACCATTTTAGACTCAATACTCCATCTCTAACGATTGTTAGACCAAATAATATGTATATGGAATTGCACGTTTTTCAATAACTAGACTTAAGCAGTGTTGAATTAACGACCAATTCCATTGAGGTGATCAATACTGAATTAGGATTATAATCCCCATAAACAATTAAGTTGGTTCTTTCATAATACAGTGCCATAGTAATACTACTACCTTGCTTCTCTTATTTAATCTATGGTCTTTCGGCGTTTTCCCAAACCTAAGTATATAAAAGTCTTTTCAGTGTACCTTACTCATACGTTACTTTCATACATTTTATATGATTAGCAATATAATAGTTTTATGGTATGAAGTTAGACAAAAAATCTTTATAAGAATTAGGAATATTTTAAAAATTCTAGGTATAATTAGTAGGTACTTCGTGGTACGTCTGCTATGCGCAAAAATGCCATGCGCATACTTTAATAGTTACGAGAAATGTAGTGAAGACAAGGAATCAGGGCATGGCATCTATTAAGATATATATATATATATATATAGTAATAGTTCAAGTTTTCTTGAATTTGAGTCTTAAGGAACATAGTGATAATGTGACGATCGTCCAAGCTATAGTGACCAGGAATCCGTGGTAGACTGAAGGTTCGCTGATGGACGCTCCCTTCTCCATGATGTCTCTGAGGGAATTCGATGGTATCGTGAAGGGCAGTGTCAAGGCGATGATTCGAAGCCCAAATGACATGCCTTCTAGAGGCCAGAGGATACCTGTTGAATGAGGAATTGTTATAAATTCGGTTTATAACACAAGTCTTATAACTAACCTACCTTACCCACATATAAGTAAAATTCATATCCATTTTGGAAATTTAATTATAAATTCGAAATACTAGCAACGTGAAATAAGACGTTACCCAGCAAATTATTATGCATTTTTTATAGCTGTTTTGCTATTTTCGTCTTCCTATCATGTGCGCACTTGCATTCCATAGCCAAAGGGCATGGGACCCTATTACTAAGATGTCACCAGGCTTTATATGTATCTATCTCATGAACCATGAAGCTAGACAGTTGAAATTTTCACAAATGTTGTAGGTATTTCTGTTGCCGATATAACATTACATACTAAAAATAGGATAAAATAAATATTTGAGAGGGTCCAATACGGCATAATTTTGTTTTCATTTTTCATAGTTTTCATGGTACGGAACCCTACGTGCGCGAATCCGACTCGCACTCGATCGGTTTTCGTCGTCATGTCATGTTTAGTGTCTTTGTTAGCCATTTTCTTCGCCCCTGCCACGTCATGTTGCCACTCGATACCACTAGCGCTGGCTAGCGAACGGTGTGTTCCCCCGTTCCCATACATAATATTAAGATACAATCAAAGAAAACGTAGACATGAATGTACGATAACTGACCACACAATAAGATCATGGGGTAGAAGCTGCCGGTGACGACGAAGAAGGACATGCTGTAGCTGGAGCAGTAGATGGAGAGCAGGAACCCGTAGCACATCCCGCACACGCCCTGCAGGAACAGCAGCAGCGCGCACGCCGCCAGCGAGCCGCGCGACGGCAGCGCGTACCCGCCGTACGCGAGCGCCATCATCTCCGCCGTCTGCCGGACCGCCCATACTCGATAGTGTTAGTAGGGACATATAGTATCATACACACACACACACACACATACGCACACACGCACACACGCACACACACACAAACACACACACACACACACACACACATTCACACACACACACACACACACACATACACACACATACACACACATACACACACTCACACGCGCGCGCACACACACTCACACGCGCGCACACACACATGCATACACTCACACCACAGAACATAGAGAGAGAATAGAAGTATAATGATATTGATTTAGTATGGGAACCGAGTGTCGCCTCTCCGCACACAAATACAGATTAGATGAAATGATCATTTTGTTCACTACATGAAAAACTGCTACGCGATACGTTCGTGATAACATAAACAGAATCCCAAAAAGATACTAAGCTAAGAAATCACACGATTAAAAACAAACTCTAATTCAACGTGATAATAAATAATTTACTTTAACATGAATGTTGAACTGTCACGTGGCTGTATACGGGGATACCAGAAGGGAAAAAATATTTTAGGATTATGCACATTTTAAAAAATTGGGGACATCATTTTATGTGCGAATTATTAAGATTAGATTTTGCTGTAACCAAGTGAATATTAAAAAATAACGCTTTTCCCTATATAACTTCTTTTAAAAAACGCAGTACAAAAACTAAGAAAACTTAATGATAAACTCTATCATATGTCTGTGGAGTAATATAATTAAGCGAGGCAAAGTGTAAAAAAAAAAAATTAAGAAACCAACAGAATTTTTGTATTAATTACATTAAGCCTAATTTGAAATTTTTTCATTCCGATTGTGCATGTTAGTGATGTGACATAATAGTAGTTGATGAAATAAGAGGTTTAAATTTTGTTATGAAACAGTAAAATGTAATTCAGTTCGACAATGTTCTACAGTGGTTTGATAGTAATTATTTAAAGCTTAATTCAAATAAAATGAAATACATAAAGTTTGCATTACTTAATGTGAGGCATATTAATACACTTATAAATGTAAATAGTGAAAAAGTTGTGTTGGTGAAATCGACAAAGTTCCTTGGTATTACACTAGATTCCCGACTGCAATGGGATCCTCATATTGATAATTTGTCAAGTAGACTGAGTTCTGCAGCATTTGCTGTTAAGCAAATTAGACTCTTGACAAATGTTGAAACGGCAGGATTGGTATATTTTAGTTATTTTCATAGTGTAATGACGTATAATATATTGTTGTGGGGTTCTGCGGCTAGCATTCAAGATATTTTTATTCTACAAAAGAGAGCTGTCCATGCTATATATAATTTACGGTCTAGAGAATCTCTCAGAGAAATAATTAAAGAAATAAATATTTTGACTGTTGCCTCTCAATACATCAATGAAAATATTATCTACGCAAGAAAACATTACGATTCCTTCGAAAAGTAGTGTTCATAATCATAGCACAAGAAATAAAAATAAACTTGCCGTTCCAAGCTTCAGACTTCAAAAAACCAGAGGATCAATGCATTTACATTGCTATGTTCAATAAAGTTCCACAAAATGTAGTTGACCTACCCATAAATAAATTTAAAATTCATGTAATAAACATACTTATGAGTAAAGGCTATTATAAAGTTGATGATTATTTAAAGAATCGCAATGCATGGAATTAATAGCCATCGCTTTGTTCTATAAAGACTAATTATATGTTCAACCTATGTCCTACAGACTTTGAAAGTTGTATTAATTATTGTGATAAGATATGAAATGACATGATTTATGTAAATATCATAGGGCTGGTAAGTTTCTTTCGCTTGTTCTTCTTGTCAGCTAAAAGACGTCCTGAACAAGTGGTAGGTGAAAAAAATTTTTTGGACGATTCAAAAGCGATTCATAATAACTAATATGATCATTACAATAATAAATTGATCATAGCCATGTTTGTTTTACTTTATTATTCTAAGTTTTATAACTGTAATAATAATAGTACCTACATTTTTAATTGCCACGACTGGACAATAAAGAATCGCTGGTCAAGTATGAGTTTGAAAGCCGTGACAAAAAAGTTTGAAGACAGACACAAAAGCGATAAGTACGTACAAACGTCAATCTTAATATAAAGTCACATCCGTTTGAGACATGCGTTTATAAACTTATGTGCAAATATGAAGCAACTGATAAAAGCTGTTCTGTGGGCGGTTCTTTAAAGTGGCTATCTTAATGGTTTCCGATTATGAATCAGCATAATAAAGTAAATTAAATTGACGCCTATAAATTAATTTTGTAAATTAAACACCACCAACAATATTACGGTAGTTGAAAACATGATTTTTTGTTTGTATAGATAATATGTTGTTTTGAAATTCATTTGATAGGTTTAGGTCTAAAACGGATAGGACAAAATAAATTATGTAAACAGGGCAATCCGTTGTAAAGTTATTAGGGAAACTGAAATATAAGTAATGCAAAATAAGTGAAATCCAGTTTCAACAGTTTCTAAAAAGACCTATTAGGCCAACACTCGTAGCTTTTCATGAAGTTTCGTTTGATTTATATATTGTTCATAAAACGTTGATATACTTCGTAACTAAGTTATTTATAGCACATCAGTATTTTTTTTATATTTATCTGCGTGTAAATAATTAACCGAATCTTCGTAAAAAAGTGCCTGAATAGTTCATTATTTCATCTGTTCAGTATCAATTCATCTTTTATTTTCAGGAGGCACAGCACTATTTTTTGCAAAAGTGCACAATATGATTTACATTGCTGTCTAGAAACGGGGTTAGAAACATCAATGTTGGTTTGAGCAATCAATGTATATTTTATTTGAAATTGTGTCAAATTATTACGTTTTTTATATTTTAGCACTAAAATTGTACTTACCAGTGAAAGGAAATGTTTGCATTAGTTAGATTGTATACTTTGTTTTGCTTTTTGCAAGTGATAATAGCACAAAACGGTATTTTTTATAGAAAAAATCAGTAAAATCGCCACTCGACGATTGACGAACGACTGACAAATATAAAACCGAGGAAAGGGCGTCATATGAGTAAAAGCGCATATGCCAGCGACGCTTGCCCCGCCCACTTACTACTTCTATGTTCTGTGACTCACACACACATAAAAACACGCATACAAGCACACACATACGCGCACGCACACACACATACAGATAGTCGTCTCATGTATAATTATTGTTAAATAATTTTGGACCATAATAATATTTCACCTTATATAATACCCACCTGTAGCAGTATGACGGCCGCCTGAAGTGCGATGTGTACGTGCAACATTTCCCGCGGCTTCACGCCGGCAACAGCGCTGCGCTCCCACACTCCTTCTAGTCTGTCGCCTATCATCAGCGTAGACGTTACCATCGCCGGTAGGAAGAAGATTATCCTGCCATCGGGCAATCTTATTAGGTAGGTATTAAAAACTTTTTTGTGTTAGGGGAATAACGGAAAATTGAGGAAACATTACTTGGGAAATTTTTAATCACAGTGTTAACATAACCAAAAGTTATTTACTGTTATAAATAATAAGAAGAGAAAAAAAAATTACCTTAATATATCCCTTAGGTACACCTGTGTATTTTATCTAAGGAGCATTACGTTATAGTATACGTGTCTCAAGTTTCAACAATATTTCGATTTTTTTACGTTATTATGACATTTACGTTTTCTGATATCTTACGTCTTATGATAACAGTCAAACACTGCTAGGTGATAAATTATTTTTCTTACGTGATCATAACCCCTGGTGCCATAAACCACATCATTTGTGCCTCCATGCTCCCGTAGATTGGATCTTCGAAACGCACTGGCATCTGTAGAAAATATTACTTATTATTATCAGTACAATAATTACTTATATTTGTTATGCCAAAGTTAAATTTACACTTGCAAATATTTTTATTTCAACTATCTCAGCGTTGCCTGCAAGAGATCACTTATTAGTAGAATCGCCAATTTTGAGTCTCTTATATAATTTAGGTGCATAAAAAACATCTGTTTCGACGTAGTGTTTGTTGCTGGATTACAAAATAAGAAAAATAACTGTTACCATTAATTTATTAATACACCATTGTATATCTACACCACCGCAGGTACAGATAGTACAGAGATAAATTGCAATTATTGAGTCGCCATTGAGATGCCACTAATACGTAAACATTAGTAAAATCGAGCCTCAAATCTTCTGCAGAAGACAGAAATTTTTAGTCTTCTGGAATTCCGGGTGGGATATATCTTTTTCAATGGTTTCATAAATAGACATATTTTTATTAGGAAATAAATATAGGTTAGGCCTGTTAGTTTAAATGTAATATTATTGTTTTCATATATTAGTTGATGATAATATATTATGTTACCTTCTTTTTAAATATGCGAAATCAGGTCCTTCTGAAACTACATAGCATAAATAATGGATAATATACAATTAAATAAATATTGACAGAATACATATGAATATTACTTTAGACTCAACATCAATATAAGATAAATTTATTTCTAGTAAAATAAATAAAGACTTCAAAAAGTGAATAACTTTAATTAGTCAGAGATATGGTAGATATTTCTTGCCTGACGGTGAGAAGGATAAAGTCACAAATGATAGCATCAGCAATGCAAGTAATAAGAAAATAATTATTAATTATTCGAAAATAACTCCCAAACCTTTAAAATTGTTCCTATTAGCTATTGATAACAAAGTATTTTATATAGAATAAAATTGCTAGAAGAAATGAAACGATGTTATAACTCAGTATTTTTTTAAAGTTTTTGTCTGGGCACATATTTATACTTTATTTATTTATAAAGATCCGTACCTCAGAAAGAAACACTCGGGCCATAGGTATATAATCAATATCTAGTTCACATATATTTGTGGTAAGTACGTACCTGTGCTAAGTCTTCAACTCTCCCACAAGCTTTCATAGATCTTTTAGTGAAAGCACTGTAAGTCTTATATAGTTGACTCTTTATGAAGTTTCTGATTTGATGATCTGTAACAGATATTCCAAATATATTATGCGTTAAACAGATTTTTAGATAACATTAACTAGTTAGGATTCTATTAAAATTAGGAATTACCCAAATCTAACGCAAGACTAGAGACAAGATATGAGTTATGCGCTACCTTGCGGTAGGCATTGGCTTCATGTTGTAGGTCAGAAATGTGTCAAGGGATAAAAACAATTTGTTAAATTGGACAAATCTGTTTAGGTAATTCCTAATATTAAGAGTTTCGTAGTTAACCAGTTAGTGAAAACGGCTGTCAGGATTTTAATAGGCTAGATAAATTATGATCATACTCACTGCTGGTGTCTAGCCAAACGTTAATGTTACTTTCCTCCAGCACATCATCCGGCACATCTCCGTCATGCAATCGTTCGGCTAACGCTGAACTAAAGTTGCGGTGGAAACGTAGTGCTCCGTAAAGTTTCCCTGTAGACACGGCAGACTTTGCCTCCTCCGAAGTATTGTATGGTAACTGTATGTGATATATTTCGTTCATAATAATGACATCTATTTCTATGTTCGTATTCAGTAACACAAAGATGGAAATAAGGATTATTATATTTAGGAAATATTAAAATAATTAGATTAGTTAAATAATATTTTATCAGTAAAAGGCCTTTTTATCTTAAGATGTTATCTTAAATTGTTTGTTATGTATATGTTTGTTTACTTGATAATAAAAGAAAAGAAAAATTAATTATCAATTATTTTTATATTTATTATGATAATATAACAGCAACAGCAAAGAGGAGAAAATAATTGGCCCAAATATACTTCCCTGTGACACACCTCTGTTTTTATCAAGGAAGCATGATATTACTTCAGTATTTATGTTCTTTAATAACAATTCTTTAATAACGTTATCAATAAAATTCAGTGTTGCAACTTTTGTAATATTACATTTTCACATATTTGCTTAATCAAAAGCTTCTTATTGATTATAAACTTTTATGAGCATGTGGATATTGATGTAAAAAATAAAAAGAAACAACTTATACTATTTTTACTATACGAATCGTATATTTATGTGATCATTATAATTGTAGAGACTCTACATTTCATTATTATTTCAAAAGTGCTAAGAGAATTTGAACTTTCTGTTTACAATGTTAGTAATACTCGCCTGATACAATCCTTTCTTTTCCATTTCTTCTAGGAACCAGCAACTGAGCATGTATTGCTCGCACGTATCATCTTCCTCTATCCTGACTATAGGCTTCAGACTACTATTCTTGCATATATCTAGACCCACTGAAAAAATTAAATCGTGTAAAGAAGTGCTGGTTTGGTTTGTTTTACTATAGAGTAAGGTTCTTACTAATCAATATTCTATTTCTTTCGCTATTCCTGAATTTCGCGAATTAGGAAGGCGAAAAGACGAGTGAAGGATATGAAGAATTATCAATAAATTTTATAAATAAAAAACGAATGGAGAACAAACGGAGAAACTTGATTTATTTTATGACCACCATTTGAATAAAACATACATGCCGCTAAAGGTTTTAATAAGCACAGATGCTAGAGTGTACATTTTGGCAGTACGAACTAAGTACTCAGATATACTTACGTGGTGAAAACGCGGCCTCCTCATTGACGACCGCTAGCCGTAAATCTCTAGGGTCGTGACCGACAGCTGAGAAGAACGCCACTATCTGGATGATGGGGAATAGTACGGAGAACACCAAACCTCTGTGAACCACAGAAACGTCTGTAAGTATTTCAAAATCAAAATTTATGATTTCTACTTTAACTAGCGTTTATAATTTTATTGCCCAAAGTACACGAAATCCTATCCTGTCCGGTTCTGTCTAGAGAATTTAATGATTGAAGAGAAGAGAACCAGATGTCTATTCAATTTCCTCTGAGACAAAATGTAAACAAACAAACCAATGTTTCTCAAACTTTTTTATTGATGTTGGTATGTAAATAAAATTTGTTAATGGGACAAATTATTGTATGGTAGGTATGCAATACAATAAGTCTATTTCATTTTCAAATAACAATTGTAAGAGTCAATCAATCAACAGCCCTTTTACGTCCCCACTGCAGGGGCTCAGGCCTTCCTTATGGATGGTTAAGGAGGATGGGCCAAGAACCTCCACGCTGGCCCAATACGGATTGGAGGGTATTTACGACTGCAAATGCAGCCGGGACCAACGGCTTAACGTGCCTTCCGAAGTACGAAGAAGCTCGAGATAATAATTTTTTGGTCACCCATCCCGTGACCGACCCTAGCGAAAGTTGCTTAACGACAACGATCGCGGGCCGCAGCGCTTGTCCACTACGCTACCGAGCTACTTACATAATTTTATTCAGAATCTTCCTCGTCTTCCTCTGAGGAACTAGTCGCACCAACTTCTATCACAAAACGGTCAACCAAATCATCTATGATAACATTAATTTAAAAAAAATATTGTTCCTGTTTTATGACATGATCAATGCACTTTAGCACAGTTCCTTCTGTTACCCTTTTTAGAGCATCGGTTAAAAAAGATTTTATTTCATTTAACTTAAAACTTAGCAATAACAGAAAACAACAGACTTAACAACTGGAATAAACAAATAACAAGAATTTAACGAAAGCATTTTGCACGAGTCAACGAGTTGATCGAGAGTAAAAATGGACGGTATAACCCGATTAATTACAAAATTTCACGTTTCTACGTAAAGTATTTTTCTTATCACTACTCCTTAATTTAGTAGTATTATAATACGTCCAATGTTTGGGAACAGCTTCAATTTTAGGTGTTTTTAATGTCATTTTCTTTTTTCATAAATTCTAAACGCATTTATATTTTGACATATTAAGAACGTTTTTCCAGTTTGTTTACATTTTGTCTTAGAGGAAGATGAACAGACTATAGTTTCTTTATTTCATACTTAAGACTTACCCAGGATGTCTTGAGAACTGTTGTATACTCTTAATAAATACCGCTTTATACCGTCCTTTAGATCTTCCGCTGCAGTCTTTTGGTCTCTCTTTAATAGTCAGTACCTGGAATGTAATGGTAGCCTTTAAGTCTAGTTTACGGCGTAGAGAAATATTTGAAAAATTGTTATCATCAGACTGAATGGAAGAGAAATAACATCAGCGGCTTCATACTAGATAAATCCTAATTATTATAGTGAGACAATGGGTTTCAATAGATAACTTACTTATTCCTTTTAATACAAGGTGCACTCTTAAACTAAAAAGGTATTTCAATTTTAACGTTATAGAGGCTTCTATTGCAAAAGTAATAAAGGTTTTGAACTGATTTTGACTGAACTTCTAAGACTGCGACAGTGCTGTATTTTTGACTGAATATCAAAGCTGTTTCTATTAATACTTACATCAGTACTACTTGTGACGATATTAAAACTGTCTCTGGACTGGTAACATACATCATTTGACATACTTTCAGGTATCACATCTGGAGATGCCGTTAGAGCTAAAAAATATAAAAAAACATTTTATTCAATAATAATAAAATGAGGTAAGTTATGCATTAAAAGCTGATCTAAAGATTTCTTCAAAGGTAGCGTTTGCACTATCCACTGATAAAGTGATATAGAATTGAGCTATCTTTGTTGTATGTGGATAGACATAATTTATTTATTATAATCGTCTTAAATAAATATGTCAAAACTCCTCAAAATTTTCGTCAATTTTATTGAAACTACTGGTTAAAAACTTTAAAATATAGCTTGAATGACCATTCTCATTGATTTCTTATAAAACTAAGAAATACTTCCTATTTTAAGCCAGAAATAGCAGCATTTCATACTTTCTCTCTTTAGTAACTTAAAAACTAGACTTTGTTATAATATAATTATATCAGAATCGTATTTAGACATAAGATACTCTAGAATAATAATAACCTGTCTAATCATCAGAATAAAGCTGTTGTGCTGTGTAATCATTAGAGTATTTAAAATTTAGAGAATGTAGCATTATGTTTAAGAGTGGTGACGGTTTCGTTACGCTTAACTATTATACCGTCAAATATCGGCATATTTCAGGTAAAAGAAATATACCGACTTAGATTTATATATTGTTTCATAAATCAAATTAAACTAGTGCATTTAAACTTCGGTATGAACTGGCACGATTAAGAAAAAATCTGCGCACTCCTATTTTAACATTAACTCCTATTTTAAGATAGCTAATATACGTCAATATTATTGTGTAAGCAACTTACTGGGCCTCCGCCTAGGCATCTGATGTTGGCGTAACGCTAGCTTGAGGAAGGCATCTTCTAAAGTGTCACAGTCGAACTTACGAAGGATCTCTTCTGGTGAATCTTCAGCTAAAAGCTGGCCATCTCGGAGGAGACCGATCTATAAAAGAAGGTCAAGATATTGAAGTAGTGCCTGAACTACGGTATTTTTGAGAATCGGACACAGATCTCGTATCAAGTCCTGCCTAGTTTGTTTATATACTGAAAAAAACACCAAACCCAGAGTGTCTGAGATGGGGTTCGAACCTCTCGCAATTCAGGCGACAAGTCTAAGCTAGTAAACTATTACTATTTCAAGCAATGAGAGATATGACGCTAACGGCTGGTTTCTGAATTGAGAAAAGTACAAAATAATTCTTAATAACTTAAGTTCTTTACGTTTCATGGGGCAAAAAGTCCTAGTTTTATCAAAGTCCTAGTTTTATCTGCTGATCATTAATATAATCAGTTACGAAAACCTGTTTAAGTGACGTTTAAGATGGCTCAAGTACGGTTTGAGAAGTCTAACATTCACAGGTGTTATGAAATATTGTGTTTTCTATGTTATATGGGTGTAACTATGTTTCTATTTCAAATTATCTATATATGTCGTAATGGGTTCCTTCTCGCCACAATAATTTAATTATGATTAAGATTCGCGAAGAAAGACATTATGTATCCCAAACATTTGTAAGGGCGCCCATGATATAATAGTAATTCAAATTGATGTATTATTAGAGAAGTGATAGCAATTCCATATTTCATATTAATTGTATACGTACCGTATTCAAAAATATGAATGAAAAAATATCTTTCACGAGACTCATTCCTCTACGTAATTAAATTTATTTATTTATTTACCTTGTGTGCCTGTTTCGTTTCGTCTATATAATGTGTAGTTATGATGACTGTGGTGCCCGCTCTAGCTAATTCCGACAGGAATTCCCAGATTCTGAAAAAAAAAAGTTTTTTTTTTAAATTTATTTATAAATGGTACACAAATAGGTCAAAATCAAAAGAGAAACCTACAAACATTTATACTACCTATAATCTAAAAAACAGTGTACACAGCATGAACAGTATTAACTTACAACATGAACAGGGGGCCAATTCTACTAAATAAATTTTGTTTAAATCGAATCGAAAACGGATCGAAACCGAACGAAACTACAGTTTTTAATGGTTTTTCTATTCTACTAAGTGACAAACGATACAATTCCAACTAAAATAGAACTGGAATTACCGCCCTCCCTCCTCCGCCCGCCATTATTTAGCCCTGCAGCATCCACGAGGGGGCGTTATCGCCCACTTTGGGAAATACTGTATTAGAGGGATCGTTAAACTATAATATATTTATTTATCTAAGTTAAAATATTAATTTATTACAGTAATAAGTGGCAGCGGTGATGTAATTATCTATGGTTCTATTGTGAAGACACGGCAGTAGTTAATTGTACAATTATCTGTCGCGTTTTGTAACTGACTAACAATTGAATTGGTTTGTCTTAATCATAAATAAAGGTGGTTAACATTGGAACAACAGTGGATAATTAAATAAATGAGTTATTATATTTGCAATGAAAATCTATTTACGGTAAATTTATCAGGCTGTAATAGTAGCAGCAGATATTACGAGGGTCAAACTGAAAGTTCTTAGAAAATCAAAAACTGATTACATTAGCCAGTTATTAGTTTTATTATATCTTTTCAAAATATTGTCCATTCACGTCAATACACCGCTGCATGCGATGGAACCACTGGGAAAAGCACTTTGCCCACTCGTCCTTAGGGGTCTCTTCAATGGCATCGCGATACGCAGCCACCGCTTCTTCAGCATTCATAAACCGCTTTCCTTTAAGTTTTTCTTTAATTTTTGGAAATAAATAAAAATCACAAGGCGCGAGGTCGGGGCTATACGGCGGGTGACCCAGTAATTCAACGTTTGATGTCGCCAAATAGTCGATCGTTCGCTTGGCGGTGTGCGACGAGGCGTTGTCGTGGTGAAGGAGGATCCTACTGCGAGGTCGTTTCTCTCGAACTTTTTCCAAGACAAGTGGCAAACAATTGGTAGTGTACCATTCTGCAGAAACTGTTTTTTGATCCTCTAACACAATTGTTGCAAAATGACCTATCCTTCCAAAGAACGAGGCCACCATTTTTTTTCCCGCACTTCGATCTCTCTTCACTTTGGTTGGCAACTCCTCGAAAGGAAACACCCACTGAGCAGATTGTCTTTTGGTTTTAGGATCATAACAGTAAATCCAGCTTTCGTCACCTGTTAGTATGTCGAACACAGCATTTGAGTCACCTCCGTTAAATCTTTCAATCATTTTACGACACCAATCCACACGATGGAGTTTTTGAGCCTCAGTCAAATTATGAGGTATCCACCGGGCGCAAAGCTTCCTGACCGCTAAATGTTCGTGGAGGATTTTGTGCACTTGACTCATACCGATGCCTAAGCTTGTCCGAATCTGTTGATAGGTCACTCTTTTGTCAGTCTCTATCATACGCCGCACAACACAGATGTTATCTTCAGTCGTCGCCGTAGAAGGCCGTCCCTCACGTAAATCATCAGTGAGATTAGTGCGACCACGTTTAAACTCATTAAACCAGTTGTAAACAGTCGCACGAGATGGGGCTTCATCGTGAAAGGCCAATCGTAGTCTATCATAACTTTCTTGTTGACTTAAATGACATCGAAAGTCATAAAAAATCATTGCACGAAAATTTTCTCGTGTTAAATTCATGATGACGTGACACAGACAATTTTCAATTTGCCGCCAAATCGTAAAACAAATGACAAATGAATGAAATATATACTCAGTAATATTGGCAAAGAGTTATATTTTCAAATTTTAGAATTATTTTTTTATTATATTGTTTATAAGTGGCCAGTTCTAAGAACTTTCAGTTTGACCCTCGTATTTTAAAATATCTAATAGAACGTATTTAATTATAGAATAATGTGGAACTGGAGTACACAATCTCTAAAAAAAACGCTTAAAACTATTTGACATACGTGATAGCAGTTGTGATCACGACTTTTTTTTAAAAGATATAGAATAAAAAGTATCGTTAATTCGACTTAAATTTTTGACGCAAATTGAAAGCTGTTGAGAAGTGCCAAACCAAAGAGTGAATGCTAAATGCAATCTTTCGAAGGGATTGAATTATGTTTTTTGATCATTAAAATCATTATTTGTTCTAAAACCTGAAAAACCTGTTGAATGTGATAACGATATACTTATTTATAATTAGACAGTTAGATCACTTTTTAAATTATGGAAAATAAACACCCATAAAATAATTGGTTATTTGGGACATACGTGTCCTGTGTCCGAAGTTTTTAACGTGATCCGTAATAGCGGTTGGTGTTCCCGTATTTATTTATTATTTTAGAAATTATATTTAATTTATCTCAATGGGAAGAAATTTTTAAATAAAAATATTAATGTTAATATAAAACCAAGGGAAGTCCAAATATTTTGACGTAACTTTATCATGGGTCATCATCGTCATACCCGGAAACTACATGCTTCCAAAAAGGTACGTATCCGGAAAAACACGGATTGATGGTAACCCTTGCTTAAAGTTAAACTCAACGACAGCGGCGGCCTTAGGGGGTGGCGAACGGGGCAATCGTCCGGGGCCTCGCTCTTCAGGAGCCTCGCGCAGCAAGCCAAGCAAATTTAAAAATACATGTATTTTTTTAACAATATTTTTTAAATATAAAACTTTTTATTTTGACCCTTAATTTTTTATGCAGGTTATATATTATAACATAGCAGTTAATTAAAATAAAGTTAGTTAACTAAACCATTCATTCTAAACATAATTGAATACCCCTTCGAACCACTTGAAGATCGGTTTTTTAATTGCATAACACTTTGTATAACTTAAGCATTTCTCCTCGAACATGACAAATACTTAATATACTCTTTATTGCACAAAAACAAAATTAACATTACAATAGTAGGTAAATCACAAGCAAGGGTGGGCTTATCTCTATAAGAGATCTCTTCCAGCCAACCAGGCGGTGTGGGAGATCAAGCAGTAACGGGAGACTGACAAGTGCATATTTGTAAAATTTAAACCCTAACAACCAGACCTACTTTCGAATCACATACTTTTCACGAAGGACAAAGGGCCTCGCAAAGGCCTGCTGCCCGGAGCCTCGCAATGGCTAAGGCCGCCGCTGCTCAACGATCTCAAGATGGAGAGAAATATTATATCGTCGCATTGAGTAGACGGGTGCTTTACCTACTTTGTATTTGCGTCTTCATCGAGTGTAATTAACTAATTATACACGATAATTATTTTTTTTATTAGGACGGAACTACAGCCGATCTCGCATAATCTTTAGTCATAGTTTTTGTCGCCATTCTATGCAATTCATGAATTATTAAAACAATTTTAAAGACGAATTTATTTTGTCTTTGATACTTCTTATGTATTCTTTATGGATAAATGCTTTAAAATTCAAATTATGGGTGTATTCCGATCGCATGTATGTCACTTACATATATATTTTTAAATTTTAACAGCTTTTTATTTAATAATTTACGGAATAATACATTTTGTAAGCATGCTCTGATATTGCTTCTACGTGAACCATGTCAATTTTAGAATGGATAAGAAAAAAATAGGTATAACTGTTTCTCAAGACTTAGTGACTGTGTCAGTGTGGGTGAAGTAATTGTATCAATTCTAGTTACCGTTATCTCGATATCTTGGCTGTGAATAGATTGGCATCTACTCTTAACAACTTTTATCGACATTTTATTAAGTACATACATGCATATATATATTTTTATGTTACTATTGAAACTTATACGTAACACACTTATGTGTGTTACGTATAAGTTCTCTTTCAGGTTCTTTTAGATGAACACTTTTTATTGTAAAAGTTGTTTAAATCTTTTAAGTTAGTCAATTACTCATAATTTTGTTTAACAGTTAGCTTAAACGACAACTGTTAAGTATAGCAGCTGGTATTTAAGTGGATATGTAGCAAATAAGCCGTCATTCTTAAGAGTAACATGAGTGTTAATATTTTGTCACAAAGTATACCATAAAAAGAACCTTATTTAACTTCTGTCTAATGCTATAATGAATGGAGTATAGTTCACTGCAGACAGTCATGCGCCATCACATAGTTTAGTGGATACAGACTGTAAAAACGTTAAATTTAATCCATTCACATAATATCTTATGTTGAAACGATTTATTTTTAAACGGAGAAGCACGTGACCGCGAATTACCCTATTAAAATAATTACGCCATTGTGAATAGCATTTTGGAAAAAATACTATTCGAATCGATCATATCGTATGGAGAGTGAAGAAAAGTTAATTTCCTCCATTGACCGGACCGAATCCAAAGCGGAAAATGGCGACACCTTGACACTGGTATGCGAAACCCTCGTCCCCGCCAACTTCATTGAACTCCAATCATAATACTCTAAAAATCATGAAGCAAAACATTCTTCTGTATAATAATGTTTGTAGGTATGCCTAATAACTGTGCATTCTCCGCTTTTTAATCTCTATTGCTAGATCAGAAAGGAGTTTGTCACGAATACTCTATTATTTTATAAATTTTGTTATAAAAAAATAAATGGAAATAAAAACTACACAATCACGAAAAACCTTGATCTTGAATAACTCAAACATAACAAAACAAAACTTGTCACAAATTCTCTATTTTATATTTTATTATATATATCTATGTTTATAATCACGAAAACCCTTAACCTTTTATCTGGAAAAACTCAGACGTAAGAAAACAAAATTTGTTGCAAATTCTCTATTCTAATCAGTGGAAATAAATAATTATTTTGAATAACTCAAACATGAGATGTTACCTTACAAGATACGAAGTTTCAATGAGAAAGTATTTAAAAAAATAACATTAGTTCCCGAAATTAAACTCGTCGCACGGTACTTTCCTGATTTCTCCATGACAACCCTTCCGGTTTAAAAAAAAGTATATTTGTTTTCAAAACTCAATAAACAGCTCATATTCTATTTGTACTTTTTCGTATTTGTATTGATATCTAAATTTCGAACTTTGCAAATGTTCGGTTTTTAATATGTTAGTTAAATGGAACGGGAATGACTATCTTTGATCCATTAGTTTCCTGCAAAAATCAACTTTTGCTAGAGTTGCCATATAGGGGAGGTACTTATTTGGTGCTTTCTTTTTATTATTAAATACTTCGTCATTGAAAGAAATTTTTTTCGCTACCACCTCGGGTGCGATCGCCTAACTCTTAAGTTATAACTCTAGCCATAAGATATATCCTATTGTATGGCTAGCAAATATGATGACGATATTTCATTACATTTTACTACTTTGACATTTATTTTGGTGGATAAATTTGGTATAAATGACTAAGTTGGAAACACTGCTGTTAAATACATATTTAAAATTCTTTATCATTCGTTGTTCGTTCTTAATATACATGTCAAAGTAGTGAAATGTAATGAAATAGCGCTATTATATCTCTAAGATGTCCTATCCTATGACTCGAAGAGTAAAGCGGTCGCTCTGATGCTCTCTTATCCACGAGACACGCCGTTGATTTTTATTGGAATGATACATTTACATGGAGAGATCAAAATATCTACTAATTATGTTTATTCTTCATTAATAGCCTACTTATATCCCAATTACTGGGACACACGCATTTCCTCCCCCATGGCTAATGGGAAACCAACCTGCCATGCTGGTCTAGTGGGGATTTCCGATAGTTGTACCAAATATTTTGACTTAACCCAATTTGTCTATCTGGAGTGAGAGTTAAAAACATATTTTTTTACTTTGTAAAATATTTATACGTTAAATACTTTTAAATAATTTTAAAACAATTCTGACACACAGATGCAAAACACAAATCTGCAAGTATTGAATTTTCAGAATAATAATTGAGTAGGTACTAATTAGTTTTAAAAGAACACAATGCTTTTTGTACTTCCATAATAGGTCTAGTTTCCATAATAATAATTATAAATGAATAATTTATGAGGCTCAAAAATGGAATTTCTGTAAAAAAATTAGGCACTTGATATTTAAGTTTTGAAGTGGCAAAGCGTAGTAAACAACTACTTATTGTAATATTCTGTCTTCTTCTATTATATAAAAAAACAATTGTTGTTCTACAACTGAAACTAGGCTGGGCTGATTTAGGTTTTGAAATATTTATCGTAGTCCAGGGAAGGTTTAAACAGCGAGGGATAACACGACGTACACTGTGTCAGTAAGTAATTAATACATAGGTCACACTAAAAGTATCTGGAATAGGCCTCTTAAAAAAAATATGTAAAAAGTTATTACTACATTTGAAAATGGAACTCTTTAGCCGTAGAATACAATTTGTTTCATCTGATTGTCAATTGTTTTCGCATAGTAGTAAATGGTGACGAAATTTGAATTTATAGTTACGATCCTAAAACAAAGCAGCAATCGAGCGATTGGGTCTTTCTAGACGGCTCTAAACCAACCAAAATGGCGCGTGTTAAAAGTGCTTCGAAGCGTTCGATTGCTTCTTTTTTTTTAATAAAACTGGACACGTGACTTTTAAACAACAGTTTGCTTTAGAAAATGGTCGTACCGTAAATAGTAACTGGTACACTATCATGTCTTTACCGAAAATTATTGACAAACTCCATGTATGTAATTGTAAAGGCCGTATTATTTTGAACTACTATAATGCTATTCCCTCACAGGCTGACAGACAAATAAGTTTTTAAAAGAGAAAAACTTATGAGTCATCGAGCATACAGTCTCTACCTGTCTTCCAAAAATCAAGAACCAATAACGCGATCAACGGTTCTCACCACTAGAAGAGGCTGCTCGAAGAGTATGAAGAATACGTATCTGATGTCACCACGGAGGAGTAGCTCAAATCTTTCCAAAATTAGTTTAATCGTAAGAAGTGAATCGCTACTATTGACAATAAATCGAAAAAACACGACTGTAAAAATAACATTGTCAGATATTATTTGCGTGCGAAGGCTGAGTTGAAAAAGGAAAAAAATAATATTTACTCATTCATTTCGTTTATTTGTATATGTATAAAAGGGTCAGAAATAATTTGTTTTTAAACGTTACCGTAAGTTGAATCAAGGTGAAGTGTTTAAAAATGCAATTAATGTTATTAAAGACAGCTTACAACAAGAGCGTCTATAGGTACCAGCGATTCTCAACTTTTTTGCGATCTTTTTTGAAACACTAAGCCTAACGAAAAAAAACCTACTATGTTACGGGTACTTTTATAAATAATACATAAGATCTCATTTATGACAATTTACTGACACATATTTTAGTGGAACTACTTAGAACATTATGCACACTGAGGAACACCTGGCTACAGAATACAGCTATTTATTATATGTCGGTAATGTTTGATTTTCTTTTTAACAAGGTTTATTTTTTTTCGTCAAACAATTAAAATAAAATTTTTACCTATGGCTGGTGCCAACAGCTGAACATGTTTTTTATAAGAAAGGTATGACAGGCAGTTATGAGGAGCTACTAAAAGGAAAGATAAGTACGTTAAATCATAGCGCAAAGAATAGTACGTTTAAATGTGATACGAAAGTAAAGCAATTTTCGTAAGGGTTAGTCATATGATGGGCTGCCAAAAATTTATTATCTCGAGCTTTTCCTTGATTCGGAAGGCACGTTAAGTTGTTGGTCTCGACAACATCTGCATTCGTTAATAACCAATTGGCCCGCATGGTGGGTCATGGCACATTCTTCATATTCGATTAACTGACAGAGTTTTTTAATTCGGTCCAGTAAGTTTAAGTTTGTACAGCAAATAAACAAGTCCAAGACTTTATAACATTTATATAGATTAGCACCTACCTCTCTCTTAATACAGGATCGAGGCCTACAGTTGGTTCATCCAGTATTAGGAGTTCTGGTTCGTGTACCAAAGCAGCAGCTAATGACACCCTCCTCTGCTGGCCCCCGGAGAGGGACTTGATCAGTCTCCCTTCGTTTGGCAGCTCCAAGAGAGTGGAGAGGAAATGGAACCTCTCTTTGAGTTTATCAGTCTTCATGCCGTATATCCTACCGAAGTAGTATATCGCGTCGCGAACTGTGAATTCGCCCACAAGAGCTATGTCCTGGAACACAGATACACATAATGGAACAAAAATGTTTTGTGCTTGCAAAAGATTATCTCTGACTCATCAAAATTTGTAATTCCCAGTTACTAATTCTTACTTTAAACTTTTCTAGATTGAGATTAAATTTCTTGAGATTAAAAAAAAAGGGACTGATGATTAGAAGGACGTAAGAGGTAATAAGTAGACAGTAGGAAGGAAAGTAAAAAAACATAGCTGCAATGTAGGAAGATCTTAGATGACATTCTCACGTAGGAATGCAGTCACAGAACAGAGTGCAGTAATTAATTATGATTCCAGAGCAATGCAGCACTTGCGCGGTACGTCTGAAGAATTGATAAGATTCTCAAGCTCACCTGTGGCATGTATCCCACCCTGGGGCCAGGTACACCGCTGCCTTTCTCGCCGGGTCTGCCTCCTAACACCCAGATATTACCGCTGTCGAGCGACCGCCTCCCGACGATGCAAGACAACAAGGTGGTCTTCCCACATCCTGACGGTCCGAGGAGTCCATATCTAAACAAATATTATTGCATATTTGGGTTAATTTATCATTACGGTTAATTAACTGAAAATTCGATGAAGATAAATTTATTTAAGAATTTTCAAAGCTCAGGAGAACGATTTGTTTTTTGTTCTCTTGAGCTTTAAAAGCTCTGTAATTAATCAGTCTTGTTCGAATTTTTATCTCTTTAGCGCATTAGCGCTTTTTAGCACATTAACTATAAACTGGACATTCACTTTTGGTACTAGTTTAGAATTGGTTTTAGTTTATTTAAACAAGTAAATCGCGCGACAAGCTTTTATGATCATATAAATTGTATATAATGAGGTTATGAGTTGGTACTTAAAGTTTAAAAAGAAAATTTTATTTTCTTCTTTTAAAAGCTTTTTTTACAAAATGATTTTTTTTGCTTTAAATTTATTTTTTAATTTTTAGTTAACGCTGGCTAGGTTCCTCAGTCTGTTCATTTCATTCAAAGCATCATTGTTGCAAGGTCGTTTGTCGGATGGTCCGCCATATTAGATTTAGAATGACGTCACACACCTGACCATGCATTGTCATCCAAACTAAATGTGTATACAATGTTTCAGCTCAATCGGTTGAAAATATCTACTTCAAAATTGAGTCCAAAGATTCCATCCGAACAAACATACTTTGCAAGTTAAATAAAAGCTTTTAATTTTTTTTTTAATGGATGGCGTCATTTATTACTTATTCATTTCCAAGTTAAATTTTCATAAATAATGACTAAACTTATTACTGTTCCATAGAAAAACCTTTTTTTTTAAAAGAACCGACTTGAAGTCTGAGAACTTAAAAACGTGATAAATAATACTTATCTTAAAAGCAATTTGTTCAAGAAAATAATGCTATTGAAGTCTAACGCCTATCATTTAATTAATAACCTACTGAAAACCTCCGCCCGGCTTCAATAGCATTTTCTTGAATAAGTCGCTTTTCAAATAAGTAATATTTATTACTTTTCTAAAGTTTGAAGTCGGTTCTCGTTTTAAAAAAAAATGTTGTTTTCATGCTCTTTAGTGATATTGATATTTTTTATGTAGCGTTGCAAAAAAAAGAAAACAATTATTTAATAAACTTGGGACTGACTCGGATGTAAATTATAAAAATCTCTCTTTACTAAGCATTATTGTAACATACAAATTTACCAACAACCTAATTTAAATTGCATGTTATGCAGGTAGGTCGTTATGTTATGCATAACGACATACGTTATTGTAACATGCATTGTAACAATGAGCCCTGTACCTGGAGTACTCTGTTAAAAGAAAAGTTAACTGAGGCAATGCCAACTTAATCAAGATATCCATCTAAAAGCTTCTCAAGAGTATATACCAACATTATCAAATTTAATTATAGGGATATGTTCATTGTAACAGTGTGTTCCTTGTAACACTGTTCTTGACTTACGCTAACACTAAAAATATTCAACATAGTGAAAGTCTTAGGGAAGAAGATTTTATTCATTAGCTCGACATTATATTTCCCAATAATCATTTTGTAAAGAAAGATTTGATTGCTTGTTTGTATTGCATTGGATAGGCTCCGAAACTATTGGACCGATTATTAATCTTTCATCTACGGGAAACTGACAAAGGGTATAAATTCGTCTTCGAGCATATAACCTCCTCCTTTTCGATTCTGCAGACGGTTAAAAAGAACATTTTTCGAGAATGGAACTAAGTAGTTAATTCGATAATTCGGCAGAATACGTATATATTGCGTTGTAGATATTACGTATTTAGTTTTGTTAACTTCAATCACTACTATATAAGCCTTTGGTTTATGTTAATATTTTATTCTTACATGATTCCTCTTTCCACTGTCATGTTGAGGTGTACTAGGACCGGCTTATGGTCCGACTTGTTAGGACGTCCATAATGTTTGCACGCCCGTTCCACAACCACCGCGGCCGGACGCGCCGCCATCTTGTGACAACTCTACTTACTAGTTGGCAGCCATTTTGTCTGTGAACAATAATTTTCAAAAAATGTAAAACAGCAATTTTTTTCTTATTTATAGTAATCTTCTCATGTGAGTGCTTAAATCACAAACTTATCCGCCGTTAAGGTGGTCTGCTATATATTCTAAATCCGAAGAATGAAGTTACAAATATAATTTGTTTGATTACGCATAATTAAGTATTAATGTTTTAACAAACCTAAATCAAAGTTTAGTTTATTTTAGAGTGGTGCAACAGAATTGTGCAACACCTTACAGTTTAATCCAGATCTAGGGCCACGGTAGTGGCTGCTAAAGCCGATCCAAAAGACATCTAAAACAGTTAAGTAAACGACTCACTGAATTTAAAAATTTGTTATTGTGTGTGCATCTGTGACTATCAGGAAGTTCAGTGTCTTCAAATAAACATCATGACACGTTTTCATGTGATCTGAAACTGCAATTAATTTCCTACAAGGAAACATTGTATTGTTATAATCAAACACAAAGGCATCCGTTTCATTGATCAACTTGATAATGAAAATGTAAACACTGACTTATATCCGTTTGGAATCGTTATAAAATTGATGTAAAAAAATATTACTCCTATTTCGGCATTCTTGAACTGAGCCTAGTACAAGAATCCATTAAAATAAAAAAAATATGTATATTCTTATAGGTATATTGTCGAAAAAACTCTGGCGTTAGGTCTATCATACATTTTATTAGTGTGTTTAATTTTCTATGGCAACAAACAGCATATGTTTTTTACTATATTTTTAATATTTATTAAATACTTAATTCTAGTTTAGGCTGATTTCGTGCACCGTTTTTAGGGTTTTTTTAGTGAGTAGGCCACTGGTAGTTGTAGGCTTTCCCTACGGTTATGGGGTAGGTTTTCAGAAAAGAATAACACATAACTTGACAAGCAAACGGCGGCGGGGTATGCGTAAAGCAATTCTCTTAAAAAAAGGTTTGATGTGTTTATGATCCAAGGTTTGTATACTACATTTACGAAAAGAATAACAAGAGTTTTGGTCCAAAAAGTATTTTAAAAAAAGAAACGATTACACAAAAATATGATTTGGATAATTGAGCCAAAATATAGTAAATTAACAGTTACTAGTAGAGATTTACGTCACAACTCTATAGGTACAACTTGCATAATCAAATTATTAATGTCCTTTGCTAATTTCAGAGGAAACTAGTATAACTGGTTCATTAACATGTATTGAGGTTGTTCGCTTAATTTGGCCATCTATATACAATTTTAAAATATGTGAGATTTATTTTTTACTTTATTTACAATGAACTATTTCGTCGATTTAAGCCTATTAATGATATTGTAGAGGTATCAATTACAAATGTCGCGGTCATTGTGGATTGGTGGATATTGACGACAGTACCTACACATAACTTTCGATTAATTTTGAAAAAGGAATAAAATTTGAACTTCACCACCAGCCCTATTACGTCCCCACTGCAGGGGCTCAGGCCTTCCTTATTGATAGTTAAGGAGGATGGGCCATGACCCTCCACGCTGGCCCAATGCGGATTGGAGGGTATTGACGACTGCAAATCCAGCCGGGACCAACGGCTTAACGCGCCTTCCGAAGCACGGAGTAGCTCGAGATAATATTTTTTTGGTCATCCATCCCGTGACCGACCCTTGCGAAAGTTGCTTAACGATTACGATCGCGGGCCGCGGCGCTTATCAACTACGCCACCGAGCCAAATTTAAACTTAAATTACAATAAACAAAAATATATCTACATAATAATAATGTCTATCTAATCTGAATAAAGTTTTCTCTATGGAGAAAATTACAAAAGTTTTGATGTATTAAGTTTTTTCAAATCATTGATACAGTCGCAGTGCTATTCTGTTTCTGTAAAAGAATCAGAGGTTCAATCAATCAAAACTTAGTACGTACTTAAAAAGGCAATAAAGGTTTTATTTGATCCGATCAAGCTACTAATGTTGCAATAGATCTGTGTGCGGCGTATCGTATTTTAATAGAATACAACAACAGAGCTAAATTCTAAAATATCGAAAAACTATATTTTCAGCCTATGAAGAACTGATTTGAGGGATAAAGTTAATTTTATTATTGGAAAACATCAGTTTACAAGTTTACCGGCTCTGGCTCCATAACAAAGATTTTCACGCCTAAAACTGCCCAGTATCCATGTGCTAATATTTTTTACTAATTCCAAATTCAAATATTATATCGGCTTTTGTTACCTACAACAGATAAAACTTCTGATTGAAACAGTGTTGTTTATGTAAATTTTATGTATGTAACAATCTATTTCATTATACTGAAAAGTCATACTATTATGTTAAGATTTGTTTTGATACATTTTTTATTTTTTCGATAAAAAGCAAAAACTACGTAACCCTTGAAATTGATTAAGTTTTGCATTTATTCTCATATTTGGGTATACTTTCTGTTTATAGAGAAAATTATTAAATAATGTGAGTCATTTTGCAGCTCGGGCCTTAATGGAGAACTTATATAATAATCAAAAGATTTTGCTAATTAATTAATTGAAAATAGTTTAATACGTGCAATGTGTATGCTACATCTGTCCCTATATATTCAATGTTTTTTCTTTTGTATTTAAATCCAACCTTATCATAAAGTTTTGAAAATAAAAATAAAGACAATTGACTTGAGGTACACGTGACAGCACCCTTTTGTGTCATCGAGAAATCCTATACTCCATTCATTATAGCATTAGACAGAAGTGAAATAAGGTTCTTTTTATGGTATACTTTGTGACAAAATATCAATAATCATGTTACTTTTAAGACTGACGGCTAATTTGCTACATATTCACTTAAATATCAGCTACTATACTTAACTGTTGTCATTTAAGCTAACTATTAAACAAACTTATGAGTATATGACTAACTTAAATGATTTAATAAGTATTACAATAAAAAGTGTCCTTCGTAAAGAACCTAAAGAAGCAGGGTTGGATAGTTTCGGCACGATTCTCATGTCACTATAACTCTACCAAATTTAAAACGTTGCCTAACTCCTTCAAGCGTTTCGGTAGTACAGCTTTTTAATTTTGTCAGACTATAATTTATTAATAATTGTTAAAATCGTAATCTGGGATTGTCATCCATTGTGAATGCTACTGCTTTTCTTGTTGTTTAGCCGTTTTCCGTGATGTTATTGTTTTATTTTTGTTGTTAAGTTTTGGTAAATATGGACGATGTCGGTACAGGCCCGAGTGGCCTATAAAAATTACGTTTTAGGCCCCCATACCTACCCTCAAACTTTGACATTTCAGGGAGTTTTGTCAATGTCTTCATCAATAGTCTAACTTATTACACTTACAATTAGAATTTATCAAAACACACAGATAGTTTCAGTTTTAGTTCCATGTTGGCTTAGGACTAAAAGATGAATTTATAAAATGCTGGCCTCATCTCAACCCCGAGGTATCATAAAAAATGGAAAATTGCCCAGCTCTTTCAGAATACCTAACGTTCAGAGTCTCAACAAAACTAATATAGATTTTTTAATTTTATCTTGAAAATAAAATGTTCTGCACTGCTGCTTCTATGACCCTCTTTTTTCTAATGTTATAGTGAATGGAGTATAGACCAAGGCTGGGACTCGAAACTGTACATGATGACACATTCAAATACTAACATTTTTCTGCAGGTAGGTATTTAGTTAACTAAATACAGCAGGAGACTTTTAAAAGATAAAGATAGAAAGACTTTTAAATATAAGTGAGGATGTTTATAGTCACTAACTTATTTTAGCAAAGTTTAACGCTTTTTGATAAAGACGAGAGAGGATCGTAATGTTTTTCATTTTTAAATGCCGTCAAGGTTCGAGCTTGAGAGTCATATAGTCATATTAAAGGAAAATTTTAATTATTTCTTTCGGTTGTTTGGGTGAAACGCCTAAACATACTCTTACTAGTAGCGAAAGTATCTAACAAGTACTTAAGAAATTCACAGTCTCATAGCGACAGTCGACCGCTCCAGCCATGAATCTTGCCATAAGATACTACATCTTAACGATGATAAATCATTAAGTTGGTAACACTGTTATAAAATACATAATCTAGTCGGCTAACAAGCATCCAAGCCAAGAATAAAAAATACATAATCTAGAGTTATAAACGCGGTGCAGTTGCCTAGACTACAAAAAGTTTTATACTCAAACATTTCGTTATTTATTTAATCTATTAATATTCTACGTGAATTAAAAAAACAAACTAAGTAGGTCATGTAATTTGTAGTTTTATCCCTTTTATGATGATTGCAACGTGTTTACAGTTATCACATTGCAATATTCATAAAAAGATATATATTATAGTCATAATCCGGTAAAACGAAGGTCATAACTACGTCATAGATTGAAATTAAAAAAAAGTGCGAAGGTCGTTCACTAGTTGCGGAGACATTTCGCCGCGGCCAGTTTGATGATATAACAGAGGTTGCAGCGCTGTTCCGGCCATCCGAGATAACACGTAACGTGTTGCGTCAAAAGAGCGCGTTTCCAATGTTTATGAAATTCTTAATTATTTCATTAGCGGTGGATTCGAATCCGAGGCCCTTTACAAATTTTAGGAGCCCAATAAATTAGAAAACATGTTTCAAGTCCTAATAAAAAAAGTGGGTTATATACCTGCTTCTTTTACATTTTTTGAACATTTTATAGATTTGATTGTATGTTTATACGTTTCTATTCTCGTATCAAAATGAAGTTCCAAGGTATTTTTTTTATTTTGATAGTTTTGAGAAAAGTAGCCGATTTTGATTAACTTATAACATTCCAGTTACATTTTTCCGGACCTGCGTTGTGAGACCTGTAAAGAGTCTCTTGGTTTATCATAAACAACAACTCTTGCAATCTGGAGCGTAAATCGTAATTGCAGTGTGAAAGAACTTATTTTTTTAAACACAATACATGGAAATTAAAATCTTTCAACTAACGGTGTACTGGACACTTAATAAGGAAAAACATATGAGTGTTGTAAATGTAATCATGGAA